ACCCGTCTCGCCCCCCTCAGTGCGTGCTGACCACTCACCTGCCATCCATTTCCAGGGGGTCCTCTTAAAGAACCTCCTATGAATGGGGCTGCCTCCTGTGACTCATCAGCCCAGCCCGGAGGTGCCCGCCAGCTGGGAACAGGGCTGCCTACTGACCCCAGATGACTGTGGGCTCCTCCTGGGTTCACGCTCAAGCATGTCATGAACTGGCCTCCATGTGGGCATCCATGGACAGCTACCTCTGTAGCATCAAGGGCAGGACACTAGACAGGCATGTAATGTGCGGGTTTCTTCTGAACTGCCAGTGATGTGTTTCGTGTATGTAYTGATTAGGGAAGAAAGGCGTCTCCACAGGACTGAGTACACGACTGAGATCCATGGTGTACGTCTACACTGAGTGCTTTCTCAGCTCAGTGATGGTCCAGTTTTTAGTATATGCCTTTAATCTCTTATCAAATTCATCCTGAATCCACTCATGTCTTGATGCTATTATAAATGCTAATTTTAAGATATCAATGTCCAGCTATTCACTGTTCACAGATGGTCTTACTCATCAACCTTGTGTGTGGTTTCCCAAGGCTGCCGGGGTACACCACCTCAAACCCAGGGTTTTCAAACATCATGCCTGCTCATCTTCCAGTTCTGGAGGCCAGCCCCAACACCAGGTGTCCACAGAGCCACACTACTCCCTGTGGCCCAGAGCAAACCACCTCCTCACCCCTCCAACCGCCATAGCCCACCTGCATTCACCATCTTGGGGCCCCTTCCTCATGTCAATCAACCTGTTCCCATCACCACATCCCCACCTGTGACTCTGACCAACCCTGGTGCTTCTGTAGCCCAGGGCCACTGCCTCGCACCCAGGTCCTTGCTCACAACATTAGCAAGACCCCTCTGCCCTACAAAGTGACTACAGGTTCTGGGGATGGGGACTGACATCTTTGGGGTCACTTCTGCCCAGAGGTCAGCTCAGCATGTGGGGTGCAGACCTGACATTGCACCAGGGCTGGGCAGTGGCAGGAGCAGCCTGAAGGCAAGGGCTGACCTCTCAAGAGAAGAGCATCACCAGCATTCCTCCAGGGGCAGGTGCTGGTGGCTGCAGGAGGGTGGAGGAGAGGAAATGGTCGAGGACCAGAAGATGCCAGCAGTGATCTGTGCTGGGAAAGAGGGACAGGTTTGGGGCGGGACATCTGGACATTAAAGCCACTCCGTAAGAGTGCCTTCAAAGACAAAAGTGCAGTTCTCTGTCACAGAAAGGATGCCAGGACCCTGCACCTGGGGACCACGAGGCTACGGGTGGTGGCCTCAACTGCAACTCCTGGATCAGGGCCCTCAGGCCTGTGGCCAAGTTGTGACTGCWGTGTTGTCTTCATGGTCCTCCTGGGATGCGCAGGGCCACACTGTGTGGGATGCAGGATCTGGGAGAGTGACCGTCACTCCATTTTCTGCATTTCACAYGAGCTTGACACTTTATATAATAAAACGTTAAGGAAGAGAAGAAAAGGGCAGCAGCAAGGGAAGGTGTGGCTAAGAGGCTCGTGTTGAGGAGTGGGGGCCGCAGTCAGCAGGTGCAAGTGGCCTGGGCGCAAGAACAGTCCCGGCTCCTCTCCTGGGCTTCCATCTTCCTCGTGACTGTTGGAAACACGYGGGGGGAGGGGGGAAGGGTTACAGTGAAGGACTTTAAAAGCCACTGTGGAGACTTGGGGGCCAAATTAACTGATCCGAAGAGCTGTGGGGTCGTGTCCTCTCCTCCTGCACTCAGAAACCACTGGCCCCATTGAGATGAGCTGGGAATGGAGGACATACTTCCCAAGGCACCTGTGATTAGAGTAGCCTGGAGAGGCTGCAGACCTGCCCGGGGCATCATCTCTGAATGCCCGCTCCCCAGGGCGTCATCCCTAAACATCCTCTTAGAACCAGGCAAGTTCCACCCAAATTAAAYAGGCCCAGAACGGCTAGTCAGGGCCACACTCAGCTGCACAGCTATGCCCAGGATGCCCACAGCACCTTGCAACAGCGCCTGCCTCTCCCACGTCTCTTCAGAGGTGACTAAAGCAAGCTGCAGTGTGGCCAGCCAAGGGGTTTTGTCAAAAACAATGGTATGGTCTGTACCTGCCCTCGTGGAAAGGGATCCTAAGAGGCCAACAGAGGCAAGCTGGGGAAGAGAATACTCCACACCACCTTGTTGTAGGAAAAGTCGCACACAGAATGCCACCTGCTGGCCTTTGCTCAAGTGAGGACACAACACTGGCCTGGCCTGTGACTGTGCAAGGTGGAGGCCCGGTGTGTTCTTACTGTTCCTGTATGTGGCTTATATTTTCCTCATAAGCAGGTATTTTTATAATCTTAAAAAATTACAAAGGCCTAAACCCGTCTAGTAAGAATGATTCAGATAAGACATTTGATGTGCACACGTGTCACCATGACAACCAACAGAGGTGGTTCCAGGATGCCTACTCACTCTAGTCGGGGCTCTAGACCKGCTTCACTCCTGTGCTTGCAGCACGTGGCTGCTGTGCATCCTGGGTGGCTGAGATGCCAGGCCCTGCACCGCCAGATGCAACTGCCTTTCCACACTGACATCTTCAGCACTGCCCTGTCMAGACAAGCACACCCTGGCTTGGAGCTTGGACCACAGTGCTGCACAGTGCTGGAGCGCAACGGGGCTCCGTCTGCCCAACCTGGGCTCTCAACACGCTGAGCGGCCTCGGAGCCTAAGGAATTCATCATAYCGTCTTCAACTCTGCAGGCTTGCCTTCTGGATGACCAGGAAGCCAGGTGCCAGAGCACAGGCAGGGGGAGGTACAGCAAAGTCCACAGAGACCTGTTGCTGGTGGCACGCACACACGTCTTGCCATCCTGAAGTCTGACATTAGGAATTCAAAGTAATAGTTCCAAGTTACCTACCACGTTCTTTTAAATCAACGTCAGACACCAGGCAATCAGCTCCATYACCAGGCTCAGGGCCAAGTTTCCGAGGTGATCCACCACTTCAGTAAATGTCCCCAAAAGGCCCTGTGCAGAAGGCATTACCAGGAGGTGGTGGGACTTTAGAAGGTGGGTCCTGGTGGGAAGAAGTTAGGTCACTGTAGGTGGGCCCTCAAAGGGGACACTGGGGCCCAGCCCCTCCCCTGCCTCCCAGCCTTCTCCATCACGCATTCCCCACCGGGACGCACTGTGCCTCTCCTCCTTTTGAGTATCTCGAGTACACTGTCACAGTAAGGGAGGGCCAACTCACACAGCCACCAAACGATCCATCAGTAGTTAGCCACTGTAACCCGTGGCTTTTCTCCCCCTATTCACTGGAGGAAGCAGGCCTCTCCCAGGGAGCACTGGACACCCCTGAGGACACTGCAGGTGGCACTGTAACAGACAAGCACAAGCAAATTTTTTCTCTTACGGCAATTCCTAGGGAACCCCACGGACACCTTTAAACATGTTTCCATTTATTCGGCTCCATAAAAGGGCACAGGGAGCATCTTCTACCATGGAGGACACTCTTCTGGTACAGCGGGCGGGGTGGAGGCCTTGCCCCATAGTGTGAGCATMACTCTAGTTTTCTTTCCTTAAAACATTACTTTCCTAACCTTATTATCTTYAGCTAACCTTGGCTTGATTTTAAAGGCCAATATGACGTTTTTCAGAATAAAAACACACTGGAGTTTTAAAATCTAAAAAGCCAAAAGAAAGACGCACACAGTAAATGCATCAAATAAAATAAAGTGACACATTTTGTGAAGTAAGAAAAATAATCCGTTTAATAATTACAACGATGCAGCACAAACGTCCCAGTAGTCAAYAGCAGGACACAGTTTGTGATGCTGCAGGACTCCTGCGGTTGTCAGTGTGCCCTGGGTGGTTTGCATGATGGAGGCACGCATGGACCACGCAGGTGTTCARGGTACCAGTGCCCAGTGCACGCAGACAGCAGACGTGCCCAGGCACACGGAGTTTCAGATGCGACACCTCACGGTCATCTGAGCTGAAAGTGCTTCTCATCTACAGGACAGGAGAGGCTTCGTCTCTCACCCCTCACAGACAAGCGTGAAGGAGTCAGCAGCCCCAGAAAGCGGTACCCCTTTGTCATTCACATCAGAACCCACCCTCCTCCAGGTCACACAGGGAATGGTACAGTGATGCACGACAGGGCAGGTTTCAGAAAGATTGCTCTCAGACGCAAGTTCTCTGCTCCCTGGAAAGCCTGGGAAGGCGCTGAGTCCACATAAAAGGCAGGCATGTGGAGACACTGCCTCGGTGGCACCCAGCCTGGGACAGGGTGTTAAAAACATGAGAATTCTCACAAAATACTTCAAGCTGAGTATTAAGGCAGGTCTATAAAAGCATCCCGGGACACAGGCGGCCCATGAGCAGCCATCCCGGGACACAGGACGGCCTTCAATTAATTCCCAGCAGAGTGGCATCGCAACGTCTCKGGTTGCCACGGCAGAGAAATCGAGGAGAGTTGTTCCTGAGTTAAAATCTGCTACGACAGCAAATGCACTCACCAAAAACACTTGTAAAAACAGGGCTTATGAAAAACAAAACTGATCTTTTCTTTCTCAGTATGGATGGATAAAATGCCAAGTCCTGGAAGTTGGCAATTCTAGCGAGCAGCTCATAGTGAGTGGTCCACGGGAGGCGGCTCGGTGTCCAGGTCTGTGCAGGGCGCYGGCAGGGGCAATGGGGAAGAAAAGGAAGCCCGCCAGCTCAAAGGTGCCTGGCACCAAGCATCCAAAGGCAGGGGATCTGCTGCAGTTACAGGGCAGCCCGGCCACCAGAACATAATCAGTCACGYGTGATGCAAACAGGCTGCTTGTGGGGTATGTGACGTGTGTGATGCTACAACTGTGGTTTGGGCGTGGGGCGCATGCCTGTAATCCCAGAGACTGGGGAGGCTGAGGCAGCAGGGTCACAAGTTCCAGGCCAGCCTGGGTAACTTTGCGAGACCCTGTCTCAAAATGAAAGGGCTGGGGTGGTAGAGCTCAGCGGTAGAACACTTGCCTAGCATGCACAAGGCTCTGGGGTCAGTCCCCAGCACCACCAAAAAAAAAAAAAATAAAATCAAATCAAAATGATATAACACTTTCTATGTTAGAGTTTACCTCACTTCAAAACTGACTCAGAGGAAGCAAAAAGACAGCTCAGTTTCTATGGTCATTGTCACTTACTGCTGGGTCATTCATTCTCCCAAGTCTGCGGGGCCCAGGGAGGCAGCCTGCTGGGTGAAAACAGGCCTCCTCCCTGGTCTCCTGCAGGCGGGCTCCGGTCCTTCTTGTTGCCAGCAGCTTGGGCATTTCCAGCGAGCACTGCTCATACAGGCAGACCGACGATAGTGAAGGGTATCTCAGGGTGAGGCTGGCCTACGGTGAAGCCTGCCCTGAATGTGAGTCTCCAGCTGGCTCCACCTGTGTCCACTGGCTGCAGCAACTGGCGATCTAGAGCACATGCATGGGAAGGTTCTAGTTCCGTCTCTCAGGGGAGAACGGAATGGCGCACCCTGTCACATCTCCGAACAAGCCTAAGAAAAGTCTGAGCTGCCTCCCAAATGCCGGAGCACACTCCCGTGATTCCAGGATCTGGAGAGATGGCAAGGGCGAACATCCACATGAGGACAGGGATGTGGATGCACCCAGGTTAGGGCTGGTCTCATTCTGCTGAGTGCTGCCCTCCACAGGGCCACCAGCCAAGGCTGGAATCCAGCTTGAGGGGAGACATCTGACTGGCGTGGAGCCCCCTGACAGACATAAGGAGCGTCAATCTGCCCAACACACTGAGGCGGGACATCTGCCTGAAGAGCCATGGGGACAAGGCTGGCGCAGGATAATCCAACACCTGCCAAAGGTGTCTCCCCACACTGCTGCTATTAAGCGAGTGTGATGGGACCTCTAACCCCACGACCAGAAAGGTCAGAGGGAAACAAGTCCTGGCAGAAGGGCGAGCCCAGACACCGTCACAAATGTGYATTCGATGTGGACTATTTACAAAAAGTACATGAACATGATATTTATGTATCAACTACAAGTCTGAAGAGCCAGGGCTCCAGTCTGTCACCGCACTCACTGCAAAATGAGGTAACTGAGATGTTAGCAGAGGTTAATGCAGCCTGGGTCCTCAGTGTCTATGCTTGTGTGGATTCTTCAGTGACAATTTGATCATTTCTATTCACATGATGAAGACAATGTCCTCAGTCCTGAATGTCATCCAAGCTGGGGCCGGGGACCTGGTTTGGCCTGGTAACTGGTCTTCAACAACAAGAAATAAGGTCGTCCTTTATAGATTGGTCTCATCCCAGGCAGGATCATTCATGTTCTTTAGCACCTTCCTCACCAGCTTTTCCAGGTCCTTGCGGGCCCTCTGTTCCTCCTCTAAAGACTTCTTCATCTTTTTGTTATCCTGCAAGTCAAGCAGACCACAGCATGTTCACTATCCGTGGCACTCAGCAGAGCCTCTTTCCCCTAAATTACACCCTTGGGGTGACTGTGGTAGGGTGGGGGTTTGCAAAGCCGAAAGGTCTAAGCACGCACTGCAGTGTGGTGCTCAGTGGAGTCCCGCCTGGGAGCCAGACGGTTCACAGCGGAAGGAACAGCCCCAGTGGCCCTTCCCATAAGTGCCTAGTGACCGCCTTGATGAAGCATACCATAGAAAATGGCTGAAAACAGCAGCGGAGTAACTACATCCTTGYCTTTCTTGCAGAATCAAAGGAATGGAAGCAACAGAAACCCCGTGAACCAGAGTRAATGCCCGGGTATGCTTAGCCTGGACTGGAAAGCTTATCACACAGGGCAGGGGAGCCCTGGGGGCTCTTGGGAGCTGCAAAGGCACATCTAGCCAGCAAGGCATATCCAGCCACACCACACCCTGGGGCACAGTGCCGTCTCCAGCGCCTGTCCACCTCCCTGCAAACCAGCCCTGGCCTGTGCACACAGGTCCACCCGCTGACCAGCCCAGCATCGCTGACTTCTGAAGTGCACGACCGCCTGTGAGAGCCCGTCACACAGGCACCAAYAGAACTTGTAACTAGGCAGTTTTCAGACTGTGTGACTATTCCAACAAAATCTGACATGGTTTATGACATCAAAAACAGGACAGTTGGATGAGTCTTTTGAAGCACACTTCCTGGTCTATCCCACTCACAGAGGACCAATGGCTTTCGTGCTGGAATTCCACAGTACAAGATCTTTTAGTTTTTTTCTTTCTTTTACTTATGGACAATCACCATTTTTGATAGTGTTTTCCTTTTTTCTCCCTTAAAAAAAGTAAAACAAATGCTGACTCACCTGCCTTAGCTCCTGGACTTCATCCTTCAGCGCATACACTGTGTCCACCAGACTCCTGGAACAGAAGAGCATGCAGGTCAATGGGCAGCACTGAGCGCCAACGGAGCCACAGGGCTCTCCCGGCTCAGCTCGGCCTATCTGGTCTCATAACTTTAACCACCCAGCCCATTCTGTGCTCAGCAGGTTGATCTCTGCTGAGGTTAAGTCCAGCCCACAAGGAAAGTCTGTGGTCAAGTTCTGGGCCCCAGCCCCAGGGGAGTTCTGACTCCATTACCCACTCCACACACTGGAGACTCTTACTTTTCCTCCATCACTGTCTGACCGTTACTTTTAGTTTCTTCAACTATTATTTTCTCTTCTTCTGGAAGCAAGACTTGTGGAGCAGATCCTTTGCGTGAACCTAGGATTGTTCAAGGAAAAAAAAAAACCTCAGGTGAATGCCATGGCAGACCCAAGAAAGGGCTCAACTACACACCCTCTACACGCTCCCACAAAGAATGCCCCAACCCCACAAGGAGGGCGCCCCCACACTCCCCTCCACCTCTGTCCACGGCGCAGGCTCTTCATGCCCACGGCATTGCAGAGGGAAACACCAACCTTTCTGTAATGTATTCAACTTTGTTTCTCAATCTAGATTATAATCTTTAAACATAAAAATTTTCAATAGCAAGTAAGTTAAAAGGTTCTGACCAYAATGCCCTAGATATTTAGCCAAATTTTAAGTCATTAAATTGTCGCAGAAATTCTAGAAAGACACACAAGATCATATACAGCATATATACTAAGTGTTTATAAATATAAAAACTGGCAATTTAAAACAGTTTAACACCATAGCAACTTCTAAAAATAAAGATATGACAGCACATAATTTAGAAAAAAATAAAATTCATTATCTGGTTATTTTATAAAAACTTAATTCTCCATTCCCTGGAACTGTTCTAAATAAAAGAAAGTCAAGTGTTCATAATGTCAGAGGAACGTTTATGCCATTCAACCAACACAAGCACAGGAGCCTACAAGGGACAGCCCCAAGATGAATGAGGCGAGGGAGGCACTCAGAAACCAACTCTGAGGCCCAAGTACTCTTTTTCAAAAGGTGAGGGAAGAGAACCACATCCCGTGATGTGAGAAAGAGAAGATTTTCTCAAAGATCACACAGTGTGGAAGCATGCACCACTCATATTTTTGGAAAACTACACCAATGGGAGGAAGGTACGATGTACCACAAACACCTGCAGTGGTTCTAGGGGAAGGGGACATTCTCTTGGAAAAGTACACCTGCCCTCTGAGGCAAGCTGACTGGGAGAGGCAGGGTTTCTGAAGCTGCTGTCTTCCTGAAAGTCTGTCAGGCTGCAAGAAGCACACCTGTTGAGCACCCCTGTCCCCATGGAAACCGGAGAGCGGTACAAATGTTTTAAAGGCAGAATTGCAAAGAYAGCTTCCACAGCACCGTACTATACAGAGGCAAGATGTACAGCTGCTGCCAAGAGGGACCAGCATCCCTGACAGGCAAGCAGGGCTGGCCCTTCCGCAATGGCAGTTCAGAGACACTGCAGCCTAGGGGAACAAGGCCTCAGGCAAGTCTCCCTGGACTGCCCTCTGGGCACCCGCAAAACCCACTCTATCAGAGGGCACCAGGCACAAGCCCCGTGCCAGACCAGAAGGGCAGAGACTGGATCACACTAGGGCGCTGTGTCCACCCTCAGTAAGCTGAGGGCAGAAGAGCACACTCTGGGTAAGCAGCCACGCACAATTCTGCATTACACAGTGTGAGCTCCATRTCAGTCACTTCTGACACCCCTGAGAGGAGAGGCTTCTCTGTGCACTGAGACTAAGCACAGTGCTGAGAATTCTGTCCAAGCCACATGAGCAGTCATGCTGAGTATTCACCAGGAAATGTCTAGACTATTCCAAGACAGTCTTCCCATGCAAGGTGCCCTGTTCACAGTGGTGGGCAGGGGCTGCAGCTACCACCCTTTCCACAGTGACCCAGATCCTAGGGAGACTGAACTTCAGATGCAGTCCTGCAGAGAAASACATTTTTAAAGCATCACCAGGCTGACCACGTCAGCCCCCAGAGACCTCTGACAGGTCCAGCAGACAGGCAGAGACCCCCTCTAGGTGACAAGAGACCATGAGAGACCTCCCGGGACTGCAGGCTGCCTCCTTCTAGGCCTTTCCTGTTAGTGGGGAATGCCGCGGGCCACGCAGACCACAAGAGAACTGCAGGGAAAGCACAGGTACCAGCCAGATGAAAAGTCTCCTGTGCCTCTTATCCAAACTTCTGTTACCTGTCTTTCGAAGGAAAAGTTAATTCATGTGATATCTGCCCAACAAAACACAGGATTCCAAAGAATCAGATATTTATACCCCAGTGTAGACAACAAAGGGCTCCACTTAATCTTCCCTGTGAAGACAAGTAAGCTGGTCACAGTACACAATTCAGTAGATCCTGAGTTTCCTAAAGTTATCAAGTCCCCAAGAGCCCTACTTTGGGTCCAGATGACTGATGACTACCTCAGAGTCAAAAGAGACATCAGTGGGGAATGCGTCCTGTTCAACTTGCAATACACATCTTCAAAAGGACCATGGAGAAAGAGGAGGTGGAGAGGTTCTAGGTAAATACACTCAGGCAGATTAAATTCTACCAGTACCATGAGTACACTGCTTACAAACGAGTAAGATAAAGTCACAAAGGACACCACTCTGYGAGAAAGGAGGTGCTATGAGATGTGAGGGCCACGTGCCCCAGGTGACTCTGGTTAGGAGTCTCAGCTCATTACCATCTCTACATTAAACACTGTTTTACAACTATTTCTTACCAAACAAATYCATGGATAAATGCCTCAAGTTTCTAAGTAACATAATTAATCTGAGGACCTCAAACCCATGAGGACCAGTAAATGGCTGTATATGCATGACTCCRATCTCACTTTTGCAAATACATTAAATGGCTATAGTAAGTATGAGAATAAATATTACAGACAGAATGTACTAACTAACTGCTCTGTTCCTGAAACATTGCAACATGGATAATGCTGCTGATCAATCTAAGGTGAGCCAAGAGGCTTATAAATCAAGGTCAGAAGTTTGCCKAGGAGTTCATGCAATGCCAATCATCTGTCCAGTTTCAGTATAACATATTTTTATAAAATAACAAAAAAAAATCTTTCAACAAAACAATAAAGAAATATTTTCTAACCAGGTTTGTAAATAAGTTGGATAATCTCAGACATTATTAAAGTATTCTTAGAGGGGCTGTRGCACAATTTTCCTGAATTACCTAGGCTAGGTAAAACACTTAACAGCACAACAAGCAAAGAATGGTCTAGCACTTCATTTAAAACCCCACAACTGGGCTTCAGTCACATGCCCAGGTTTTGGGTGGCTCCAGGACAGGGAGAGCTGAGCTTCTCTTTGTGGAGCTGGGAACAGTAGGGGAGGCTCAAGAAACGCCATGTTCTGCAGCCGCTGCCTGGAGATTCACCGCGCCCTGCACAGCATTATCGGTTTGCTGAGGTTTGCCACAGCACTCCGCTCCTGGGACGTCAGGAACTCATCTGAGTGCTCAACATTTTTTTTAGCATCCACATTAGCATCTTGGGTTTTCTGGGTAACAGTCTGAGCGGTACTAACTAGCCTACAGACCTAAGTCTGAAAAGACACACAACTGCTGATTTGTCCCTGGACTTACTGTTTCTGTATGGAGGCGGGAATAAGAAAAACGTAACACAACAAAACACTACTCTGTACTACCAATCCCGCACTTCCTCATACTGAAGGACTCTAATGTGCCTGCAGGTGCACAGTGTCCACCCTTCAAGGCCTGCTGGGACAGTCCACAGGGTCACTTTAGGAGCACTAGTGCCACATGGCAGAGACATGAGTAGCCCCTGAGTCCCCGTGGCGGCATCCATTCCATACAAGGTGTGATCCTGTGGGAACACATCATTAGCCACATCTCAGAACCTTCCCCCAGGTCCCAAGGACTATGGACCTTAATGTGAGAAACAGATCTCATCTAGCAATTCCACCTCAGGCTGCAGCAGAGCAGGGATCACCTGGGACTCCAGGACCTGTCTGTGCTGTCGTCCTGGCTGCTGGAACACCACTGGGGGGTGGGGGGGGGGCGGGAGCACACACTGATGACACACAACCACAGAGCCTTAAGGTCAAGTTCACGGCAGGTGTGACGTGTGTGTAGGCTGAGCCTGTCAGCAGAACGGCTGTCTAYGGGCCAGTGGTCAGTCTGTCCGTCCATCTGGTGCTTTCCCTCTTAGGCCTGTGACCTTCCCAGTCTGCACCAACTACATCAACTAAGGAGAAGACTTTGGGAGGGACCAAGCATTCCACTTAGAAACCTACTTGGCAGACTCTCCAAGTGCACGCAGGCCATGCTGTTCCACGGCTCTGAGGCTGGAGCCCGCTTTTCCTTCCTAGGGAAAGAAGGCGGGCCTCTTCCCTGAGAGCTCTCCATCCACACCTCAGCCTAGCCCTGCACTGCACCAGCGACTTCTTCCTTCCTTTTACTCTGCTTGCTTTCCTCTTCTGAGTCATGGGCATGCACTTTGTAAAACAAAAGGAAAATGCTGACTTTAGTTTAAATTTGAAAAATTTAAAAGTCGTCCTTTTTTTCCATTTGTGCCCCCAAACCAATAATGATTCTTTTTTGAAGACAGACCTTCCAGTGATTAAAAATTTGTTTTAAAAAAAGAAAGGGATATAAAACAAAAGAATGGGCCAGGAGTGCCCTTGTATTATCTAGCACACAGCCAGCCTAAGAAAGCCCCAGCTCCTTTTCGGAGGCAGACACTCCAGGCCCGCGGCCTGGYCCGCGGCCTGGCCTGCCTTGGAGACACTGTGGTGGGGAGAAAAGTCCTGCTGTGTCAACGGCAAACTGTGCTCTTCCCCTCCCCCACGGAACAAATATTAAAAGCCACGGGCTAGCAAATGCAAAATTTATTTCAACTGTACATAACATGTCTTTTTTTTATATAAAACAAACACTTCATTGCCATATGCAACCACAAACAATAATATGCATACTGTACAATACAATGCAACATTCAGATATACATCCAAGTGAATTTTCAAATGGCAGTCATGTACTAAAAATGGCTTTTCCCATTCACAGATAAAGAGCACAATATATAGCTTTTGTCCAAGATCTTATACCACTATATACACATTACTGTGTTTTGGCAATTTTAGGCAAAACACAAAATTAGATAGCGTATTAAATACTTCTGGCGCATGTTAGTTCAATGGGAACATCTGTAGAAGGTCTGACGCTGGCCTAGACCTGCCTCCTAGCCCAACCTTCAACCTTCTGTCATGAAGTCAACCATATCAGAAGGCAGGCTTGCAGAAGCCTGAGGTTCGAGTATGTGCATGAATGACGTCAGGCTGGCCTTTGGATGTCTGTCACCTGCTACACGAAGACCATCTTCCAGGCCTGTGCACTAACACTTCTAACCAGGTCAAAAAAGCCAATGGTGTCAGATTTTGAAATGAATTCAAATAAAGAAAAAGCCAGACTATTATTCTGTAGTGATCTCATCATCAACAAAAATCATCAAGTGGCTTTCACTGATACAAAAAGAAATGATGGCAAAGCATCAGAACTTTGGTGCAGAGAAACTGATGACAACCAAATGAGACTTGGGCTGAAGGAAGTCCAAGTGCGGCGGCTGCACCTCACTGTGGTCTTGCAGCACTAACTGGCAACCGCACCAACGAAGGTGCAGCCAAGGCATSGAAGCTGCCGCGTTAGTTATCACAGTCTCAAAGCAGGTATTCTGTGAATTCCAAAAAAGAGCATTACTCTGTGTGATATAAAAACGAAAYTGCTTCTAAATCCATTGCATGATATTAGGTAAGTATAAAAACTTTGTATTAGACTTGTCAAAAATCTCCACTTGCTATTTGAATACACGCAAACCTCGTCTCTACTATAGATTAATACTGGGTGCTAATTTCAGAAGACTGCTCCTCAACTTTCTTATTTTACTAATTGATATAAAAATATGAAATCTCTAGTTGGTGCGAAAAGCTCTGTGGCTGTGGGAACACACTGGTGCCCCAGGGCCCTGTGCCTCGCCTCACTCCGGCAGACATGGCACCCAGCTTGCTGAGAGGCACGCCCCACCAGGAGTTCACTAGCACCGCTGGCGGGCAAGCAGCAGGGCCCAGTTCCCAGGCTCGGCACTGTGTCAGAGCACACAATGCACAACACTGAGCATGCGGGCTGGCGAGGGGTGGTGGAGAGACGCCACTGCCACCCGGAACTCCAGCGCCCTAGAAAGGAAATAATGTTATTTCCRATTCACCATGGCATCCTGTCTCTGAAGCTGGTTCCAATGGACACGTAAAATACAACCAAGAGGTTCCATTTTAACACCAAACAGCGTGTGAGGGAGAAGACGGTTCTGCCCCCAAAGCCATGATCAGGCGTGGGCGTGCTGCTGCAACTGAATGCAACACACCACATTCAGTCTTTCTCAAGCGACATCAGCCCAAGGGAGGCCAGTGAAAACTCCTTACAACCAATCCCAGGAAGGCAGGGTGGTTTTCTCCAAGGGACAYGGCAGCCTTGTGCCTTCCCCGACCCACACAGTGAGGCGTCGGGCTAATTCTGCAGGGCTGTGAACGGAGTTTCACTGTAGGTAGCTGCTGGAAGCAAGGGTATGCTTGCGGCTCTCACAGACAGCGCAGCGTGGATGTCAGGGGCAGCCGCCGTGATGGAAGCCAAGCGTACAACCCTGCACGCTCTGCGCACAGCCTACACTGCAGGGGCGAGATGCTTCCGACTTTGGACCTAAAGTTGTAGTGCTGGGGCTCTGAATAGAGCGGCTCAGTGTTTCAGTGCCATGGCTGCAGTTCCAACAAGGCAGGGGATGTGCTGTAATGATCAGTGACTGCACTGCAACCGTGAGCTCGCCTTTGGAAAGAGGAGCTCCCCGCAAACGCCACATGCAGGACACATGAGGGCACAGAGCTAGGGGGGGTCAAGACAGCTCTGAAAAATGCAACACCCGCCCTTCTGTGTACCTGCCAGGACCAGAGCCACACAGCACTGCACGGCAGCATGACGCGCATCACTCGCACTCGGAGCCTCATTACAGATGCTCCTCTCAGTGCCTTGCCACAGCTACTTGGTCAAATGTTACACAYAAAAAAACCTAAGTTCCTACATAAGGCCAGAGTCTCCTCTGTGTTGCTGGCACTTAAGATCGCAAACCTGTGTGGTTCTGGTATAAAATACAAAAGTGTCCATACAGCTGTATCCAAAAAGAAAAGAAACAGTCGCTACACAGAAGGAGAAAAAAAAAAAAAAAAACATTTTGAGTTTGTATAAAACAACGCTCCATTGGGAAAAGCACCCTTGGTACAGGCTCATGTGAACCCACCACCTTCCTCAACAGGCAGCAGTTTGAATGCATACTCAGTTTGGCAATTAAGCCTCCACGAGGTACAATGGAAAATACCAGGAACACTCTCAAAAGTTGTTAAAATATCACATAAAAGAGACAAGGAACAGCAAGAAACATCTAAGAAAAGCAGGCTGCGATACAACAAGCATTGGTTAAGAAAAGCTCAGAAGTGCATTAGTTCTGGTGAGAGATATATGAGCAACAGCTCTTACGAGATGCAGAACCCATTCTGTAACTATGGGCTGTCCATATACTGTCATACTCAGAGTCTTCCGAGAGGTCTGAGGGCTCCAAACGAGAAAGGCTACTGCGACGACCCAAGGAGTCTAGACTTGATTGGTCGTCATCAGCCAAGACGTGATTATGCATCAGGTCAGTGCCTTGCCATGCTAAGACGGGGGGGTGGAGTGACAGGTGCGACAGGCAGAGGTGGGATGAGGAGGACGGACAGGAAGAGCCACAACCAAAACATGAAACAAAAGCAAAAGGTGATGGGAAGAGAAGGAAAAGAGAAAATATTGTTAAAAAAATAGCAACAATGCTTATTTCTCCTTATTTATGGCTGGGTTTTAAATAATGAACTTATTAATTATTAGCACAACCCTCAGAACAACACTAGATCAGTTGTTTTAATAAACCTATATCCAATATTATCTCTAATTGCTCTTTTTTTAAGATAAAGCACTCACCTAAAAAATTTTCTACAGATTTGCCCATATCCAAATGATGATTCCATAAACACTTGACAATTAACTACTTCTATTAAAAAATGGTCTCAGGACATTATATATAAAAGGTACCATTTATGTAGCTGAAACTACTGCCTATTCAGTGAACAAATGCATTAAATGCAAAATAATGTCAAATATGTTTTGACTTACTTCTTAATCTCTGCAAGCTATACATCACCAGCAGGGGTCTAAACTTACCTTATCAACCTACAATCAGTGCAAAAGGTTCAGAGTGGAGAAAAGAATTTAAGAGGGTGCCTGGCCCTTCCACTACTGCTTGCGGGGCTTGCCAGAGCAGAGGTCGAGTTTATTCACAATGTTATCAACCTGGTGCAGGCCTTTCCCCACCAGGATGACAGGCATGAACAGGCGATGCTACTATGCTGAGAGGAGAATGGCAGTGGGCAGGGAACGGCTGGGATAGAGAGCAGTGAACCTGGCAGGCAGCTGGGCACGAGAGCATGCAGGGCTGCAAAGGGCCTCCCTCAGGGAGACAGGGCTGTGTTGGGGACTGGAAGCCACAGCAGCAAGTAGCCTCTGTGCAGACTGCATGAGAACTAAGCCTCCACAGTCTGTGTAGGTCACTACTTCCTTGAGCAAAAATCAATACTCAGATCCTTGGTTTCTAAAGTCCTGTTGGTACCCAAATGCACACTGAACTGAGCTGAATTCTGGTAAAATAAACTCCTTCTAAAAGCTGTTGTTACTGCACATTAACATGCCAAAGCTGCTGCACTGTGAGCCATCTCCACTTGGTGAGGAAGGGTGCCCTCCTGCACAGACACGCATGCCTCATCACCACCTGTGCTGGCAGTGTGAGGTCGACGCCTTGGCTGATTATCCTCTCTGTCCCAGGCAGTTCTGCCTATAGTATCAACCAAGAGCAAATCAGACTACTGACCAATGCTTTCTTGAATGGGAAGAGTGGACACGCTGACATGGACATTGCACTAAGAAAGGCTCTGTGGAAGCTGCAGGTCATCCCTCTGGCATACCTGGCAGCAGCRAAGCCATAAGGTGGCCCTGTGAAGCCCACAAAGCACACACACCCCTGAGAGACTAGGACCTTCAGCTGAGACTACTAAGTTAAATTTTATTCAAGTAACTGAAATTCAGAGGACCACTTTTTAAAAATTCCAAATTTGAAATCCATAAACATTTTATAGTCGAGTCTACCTAAAATACAATCACTAACAAATTATGAAAATGTAATACCTTTAATCACAATACTCCRCACTTACAAATGACTGCCTAACTGCACACGTAGGTGTTCTAGTTTGCTGGAGTACCCAGGCCTTCCCACTTCCTTCCCATCCCTCGACCAGTCACTACAATAGGCACCTTCACCAGAGAGGAGACTTCACCAGAACAAGGACTGTGCTGACCACTAGAAAAAAATCTAAATGAAGACACTAGAAATGTAAAAAAGGTTCAGGCCACACACATCTACCTGGCCCCTGATGGCTAGCTTATGTTCACAGCCACAGGCACCTCTGACAAAGCTGTACCAGCTACAAAGTCCTTGTCCCCTGTTTCTGGTTTTCAGCATTAGTTTAAGTAGGACACACGCTAAGCTGAAACACCACAACTGCAGGCATGAGAATGAAGACGGGAGGGACGTGCTCTGCCAAAAGCCACGGCGGAAGAACCCAAACTCACCAAGGGGAAGCCAGCTTTTATRCCCAGGTCATATCTGAGCCACCCAGGCCTCCAAGGCCAAGAAAAGCCCCCAAAATAAGGAGCAGCAGGCCAAGAGGCCCACTGAGGTGGAGAGGCCCCCCGGGCCATGCACTGGTGCCCAGCTGCCGCCACACTGTGCTGCCCTCACCCCTGCCAGGGAAATGTAAAAAGCCACCTCCTCCCTGTTCATACCACAGACTGAGCAGTTTCTACTTAAACATCATACATAAGACATGGGTAAATTCTGTGGTGATCGATCAACCAAATTAAGGTCGTTTGTGCTTATTTCCAAATATTTATAAGAAAAAGAAAGGGAAGCTAACAGAAGCCTCACTCTAGGTTTATATTTTGGACAATAAACAACAATTCTGAAAAGCTTAAAAAAAAACAAGCCCGAGTCCCTACCTTACACCAGCAATGTGAAGGGCTGAACAAGTAGCCTTCTACTATCGTCTGAACACAGCTAGGTGCAGGCCCTATGGAGAACACTGGCCARAACACCATGCTGCTGCTCTGCTCAAGCTCAGATCCTGCTCACATGACTCAGGGACTCAGGGCTCCCTGTGTGTTGCTTGATCCATCTCTGAGACCTCCCTCCTTCCCTCCCTCAGAACAGCTCAGGCATGGAGCAACGTTTAGATTGTGACRAGAACACACATCCCAGCACACTCCTGTGAAACTTACTTGAGTTGAGGGTCTGCCGGGTCTTGGCGCTTGTGCAGTAAGCCTCGATGACCTTCAGAATCTGAGCATCTTCTTCCAGAGCCGCCGTGCCTGCAGAGAGATGCAGAGGCATCACTACCAAACACACATCCCACAGCCTCACTCCACAAGCTGTCGGACAGGGTGTGCTCACAGGCATCAACTCAGCTGACACCAGCAGGTGAGAAGAGCCCTCCTTTTATTTTCTTGTCAGGCAACTGTTCTCTTAATATCTACAAATGTGTATATTCAAAAAGGATTTTTCAGTTTTTTAAATATTTTTATCTGTAATTTATCTAGCAAAGGGCTGCTATCCTTAGCTGTCTTGCTAAGCCATTAAAAAAAAGGAGGCCCCTCCCACACAAATTAAAAAAGGATAAGAGAAAAGAGTCAGCAACTCACAAAAGCACAGTTRGTAAGGAAAGCCATTCTACCTCATCAACAAGAGCCTGCGCTCATATCCTCAAAACCAACCCGACAACACCAACACCAGCAGAGGTGGGCAGTGACCTCGAAAGGCATCTGATGCAGGCCTRCAAAGGAGCTTCCCTCTAGCACAAATTCCTACCTTAGAGGTCAATCTACAAAAYTCACAAGCCAGGTCAGCCCTCCTCACAGAGCCCTTCCTTGAGCCGGCTCTTGGACACTGGCCCTGTCTCCACTGAGAGCAGGCACAAGAACACAGGGTTAAAGCCCAAGGCAGTGGCAGTGGCAGTGGGCACAAGCTCTCACATCAGCATGCACCCAAGAGGTGTTACACATATGGGCAAGCGGCTTATTTTCTTTATCTTCCTCTTTTTCTGTTTTCTTTCTTTCCTAAGATACTACTTGGGTACCTATTTTAAAAGGCTCACCTACTCTAATAGAAAATGTGGAAAGAACAGAAGGCTAAAGTATTAATAGTGGTATAACAATGAAGCCTCAATGTCATTTTGAGAGAGTAAAATTCATACCAGTATTCAAACCCAGTATTCACTACTAGACAATAACTCACAATGCAAGAACTTAAGAGCTCCCAAGAAAAGGCCTAAATCTCACTAAGTGGAAGCAATCTTCTGACAGGCTCCTGTAACAACCCACTTCCTCAGAGGCGAGAAGTCCATTTCCACCGAGGGCTCCTGCAGGGAACTTCCAAAGGCAGGCTGTTCCCTGTGGTGGTGCAGGACTGTGTCTTTGTGGGGACCCTCTCAGTCCAGCTGATGTAACCAACTGCCCGTGTGAGACATGGCTGAATACAAAGAAAGGCAGAGAATGAGGCAGGAATCTGAAAACAGCTCTGACTTTCAACAAACCACCATGCTGATCTACCTTCGCCACTGCGGGCAGATGCAAGCAGCCAAGGCGGGGAATCACACACTTGCTGTGTGGTCTGAGCCRTTTCATAGACTAGAACAACGCTGGGATCCTGGATGCAATAAAGGCTGAAACAACTTATGAAATCACAGTGGCTTAAAGCAGTGAGGCTCACCTGCACCCGTGATACGTGGCACTGTCACAGAGACCACTTACACAGAATTTCCTTTAGTCCTCTGTCTCACAGGTCCTCCTGACCCTCATATGCGAGGACTGCAGGGCAGGGCACTTGGATACCCCACTGCTTCTCCTCTCCATCTGCCCAAACTTGTGCTTGAAATAACACATCTTCACCCCAGTCTGGGCCTTCCCCAGACATCGAATCATATGTTCACCACCCAGCTAATACTTACTCCTGGACACCTCCTGAGAGCCTCATGCTCTACATCCTCCTGGCTGCCCCAGCCCTGTGCCTGCCCTGTCCATCATGGCTCCTGTAGTGCACCCCAAGGCCACAATGCTGAAAACCACATATACAAGGCCTGTGGGCCTGTACCCCCAGCCACCACACTGCTTATCRGCTGCACAAGATGAGTCTGTAGGATGCTGTGTCTCTACCACARAGGACAGTAGCCCTCACCCAGCTGTAAGGACTAGAATGTCTTCAGACATTGCTTAATGTGCCCTGGGGCAAATCCCACCCACAGAACCATTACCATAGGCTCTACCTTCATTCAGCACCCCCACCCAGACATCTGCTCACATTTTACCATCACCATCAACCTGGGCCCACCACCATCCCCTCTCACCCTCACTACCTGGCTCCACTTTTGCTTCAGCCTGCTTGCTCTCATGCAATAGGTGAGACCTCTGGACCCTGAGGCACCCCACTGCCTGAGGCACCTCAAAGGCTCTGGCATCACCAGTCCCTCACTCCCCAGGCAGCCCCTCCTTGCACCTCAGCCAGGCTTGAAGAGACTGCAATGCCTCTACTCAGATACTGCCCTTGCATGGAAGCCGTCCCACCAGCCCCGGCCAGTCTGAGCACTCCCCAGACATGCGCTGAGAGTTTGTCTTGTTTCTCCTCTGTCTTCTGCAAAACCTGAGCTCTAGGAGGTCAGGGATGTTTCCTTCTTTCACAGCTGTGTCTCTCATACCAGCMCAAAGACAGGGCTAAGTGTTTGCCAGTGACTGACGAGCGCACCTGTGTCTATGTCATGGCACCCATGACATAGATGTGTGCTCCACACAGAAGGTGCTGAGCAAATACCTGTTATGAGAGGGCCACCAGATACCCCGGAGCCCAGCCTCATCTCCCCTGCACAGACAAGCAGTGGCAGCCAGGAGGACACAGTGGGCCCAGCCAAGCCTTAGGCACACCTCACAAGGACTGCACACACTGCTCTGGTGGACTGGAACCTGTGCACCAGGGCAAGGAGCAGGCAGTACAGCCACCCACACCAGGTGACACGCACGAGGACAGGGCAACCGCGGTGGAGCTGCTCAAGAAGCTGCTGTCTCATTGGCTTCCCCCACATTAAAATGGCCTCACACAAAGGATGGAGAAGAAGCTGCTTAGCACCTGGATCAGAGCTGCTGGGCCAAGCTGGCACCTTTCCTGGTGATGCCAACTACCCTCAAGTTCTAAGTTCAAATCTCTCCCTTGGGCCTTCTTTTGGAAATAAACCTCTTAAGGGTCCCAATGAGTACAGTGAAAAGAAAAGTGACTCCCGAGAATTGCAAGGCCTGCAGAAGACCCCTGCTGGCACCTGCTGGCTAATATGCTCTGTCCTGCAGGGAGGGACATCAGGGTGGAATGATCATGCCCTGTCCCCACCAGGAGCTTTCCTTCAGCCCTGGACAGTCCCCTAGATGGCCGCATGCTTGCTGCGCCCCTCTGCAGCAGTCACCATGCCTGATGTGCTGGGTAAGATGAGTCTGTGTGCCCTGTGGATGCTGTGTGATACCCCTGGTCTACCATTGAGGGTAGTAGCCCTTACCCAGCTGTGACAACTACAGTGTCTTCAGACATTGCTGTATGTCCCATGGGGCAAGTCTCACCCAGCATGAAGCAGGGCAGGGAAACTTCCCACTGGTTCTGCAAGTGACTAACTTTATGAATCCCAAAGCTATGGCCTGTGCACCTGAGTGTGAGTTTCCCTGTGAGCACAGTGTAGGACCCCAGGGTAGGGCAGAGACTGCTTCCAGCTCTCCAGAGCCTATGAAAGCTCACCTCTGAGTCCCCCAGGACTGTGATCCTGATATGTGAAGAGAACAGGCCACAGCCCTACTAGGTGGAGAGGGAACTCCAGGAATCCTAGCATGTCAGGCTTCATGGGCCAAGTGGATAAGAGCAGGTAAGGCCCCATTTACAGCACAGTCCTGCCCCAGCCTCCTAACCCATGTTTCCTGCCCATCTGTTGGTCCCACCTCGAGAAGTAGGCCCTGCTGCCTGCAGTTATGGGAAGACCATAACTGTTTCTCCAGCCGCTTTTCCACTGTGCACGCTACAGGGACTCACTTTTCCGCAAGGCGAACTCCTCGTCTGAAGGCTTCCGTTCAGGTTTGCGCTTCGGCAGCAGCTTTTTCATGGTCTTGGGACTCTTACTAAGATCCTGGGGAAACACAAAGGACAGGAAACACTGACTGATGCCAAAACCTGCCGGCTCTCCTGGGTGTCAGGACAGTGCCCYGAGGCAAAGCAGCCACACACACTTCCCTCAACTCTCACGTGGCCTTTGCCAGCTGTGGAACAGTCTCGAAAGACCAACAGGTGTCTTCAGCATTCACCACTGATCCCCTCAACTCCAACAGGGACCCTTGTGCTACCTGGGTCTTACCAGTCCTGGGATGGCAAGTGGCAGAGGTCCCCACTGGCAGGAGAGAAAGGGCAGGCGGTGGGAGCCGGGCTTGGCAACTATGGAGCAGACCTGCCTGGCACAGCTGACTAGGAAGAGGTGAGGGAACCAAGGCAAGTCAGCTCCTGCAGCAATGTGCTTGAAGCCTCCAGGGAGAGGCCACACACCCACCATTCTGGGCCCAGGCACAGCTGTGGCRCACGCACAGCCAGTCCCATGCCTGTTTGGGAGAACCACCTGCCCTGCCCACTTGGCACATCTTCATCCTGAGGTGAAAACTAAGTGGAGGTGATGGGACAGGTGAAGTCTCAACTGCTGAGCACATGCTGGACATAGATACTAAAGAAGGCTGCCCTCCATCAGTTCGGTCCCACACTCGGGGCAGACATGCTACAGGACCCAACTCAAAGCACTAAGAGAACAGAGCCTGACTTCTGACATYACCACTTCGAAATCTTCTCTGTGTAAATGAACATGTACAAGGTCTTCTCAGTGCCCCAGGAATCAGTTTCCAAAGAACCATTTCCAATGTGGGCTCCACTGCTTCTCTGACTCAGAAGAAGTTGCCAAGACCCCTGGAGAGGTCAGTGCCCTGCCCTGCCCTGCCCTGCCCTGCCCAGCAGGCACCTGCACACCACGGCTCAGGGAACAGGATCCAGCACTTCTGCCTGCACCCTGCACCCACCAGGGGGCCTGATGGGCAGCATTCCAGGGCTCCATCTTCTTTGCCAACTCTGTTCCTCAGGACGACTTCTCACTAGGGTTTTAAGGCACTGGAAATAACAAGCTATAAGCAAAGAATGAACGCACTTCTCTCTCCCGACATCTAAAAGTAATTGGAGTGCGACGTATCACAACCAACATGCTTAAGCTTGCTTCSGTGACCCTCCCTCATCCCTTCTACTTCTTCGTCCCACCCCTTCTACTYCTTCGTCCAGCAGTCTCCAGTAATTAAACCTCCATCAGTGCTTGCCTGCATTATCTCACTTTTTCTTTATACCACAACACTAACAAAGAACATCAATATCCTTCATGCAGCTACCCACAATTTAAAACTTCTGTCTGGGGTGACTCTCAGCAAGACTCTTARTGAGTTAAGAACAACGTAAAGGCTGACTGAAATTTTGCAGATAGTACTCCTGCTTTGCTGGCATGAATGGAAGAAGGGTCTGCCCCAGCAACCCTGGCGATGTGGCCCCTGGCTGGATGTGCAGGCTCCAGGCCAGGATGCGGCACATCACCACACACAACTATGCTCATTTGCACACTCGTTCTTATGCATTTATACCCACACTTGTGCTCACAACTGCACTCTAATACTCATTCTCACAGGCTCACAAGCTCACTTTCATTCTCACATTCACAAGCACGCTCATCTTGCATACCCACACTCATTTCCACACATGCTCATAAGCCCACTCATTCTCAAACTCATAAGCCCACTTATCTTGCACACTTACAAGTGTGCTCATATTCATGCACATTCATTCTTGCACATGCTTATTCTTTTACACTTACACAATTGCTCTTATCCTCACACACTCATGCATGACTCCTTATCACATGCACACTCACAAGCATGCACATTCTCTGTTCACAAACTCACACTCTTCTCATACGCGCACATCAATAACCAGTGTCCTCAGGTGAAGGCACTTCTCAGGATGCACTCTCAAGGTGTTTCCCTCCTGCTCAGGGCAGGCGCAGGGGCAGATGGACTTACTAGGAATGGCACCTGACATGAGGTGCACCTCACGTTTGGAACAAGACCCAGTCAGAATGAAGAAGACTGCAGATTGCACCACAACTCCTCACAAGTTCAAGGAGCATCGCCTGACATGACTGTTTCCATTTTTATTTGTAAATGTTCTCTTCATCCGAAATTGCTCCAGGGTTCATGGATAGGATCTCAAACTGAAAGAATGGGCTAAGAGGTGTAGCACAAAGGCACGCAAGTCATGACTTGGGGCCTGTCCCTCCCCAGCTCCTGCCCTAGGTGCACACCCGAGCAAGTGTGTACACCCATCCCCCATGTCTCCTGAGACCCTAACAGTTGAAGGGAATAGTAAGAGAACCAAGGTGACTCTACTTCACAGCTCTCATGAAACTAATTTGTATTTTTTTATGTCAGAGAAACATGGAATTTTCATTTCTGAATTCATTGAAACAAAAACTGGAATGAAGTACAGAACAAGAAACACAGACAGAATGGCTGTGAGCGGCCAAAGGACCTTACCTCCTTGTAGCAGAGTGCAGCTGAGGGCCGGAGAGGGGGCGCAGGCCGCAGGCAGCTCAGACTCCAGGGCTTGGGGGTCTTTGGAGGCTCCAGGGGCCCCCAGCTGATGGTGGTGTGCGGGGCACCATGGTGGGAGGGGTGGGGGAGCGTGTGGTAGGCAGGTGTCAGAGCCATGGGCTTGCTGTCTGCATGCTTGCTGGATGGGGTGACGGGATGCGAGGGGAGCTGCCAGGGACAAAAGTGAGAAGAGCAGAGAGAGCATGAGACCAGCAGAGTCCCGTAAAGGACTGAGCATGTGCACCTCACTCTGCTCCTTAGATGTAGGAGACAAGCCTAGTGGTCCATTTCTGGGCTGGGCAAAGGGTTGCAGGCACTGTCTGCTACAGGAACGCCTTACTCTTGTTAGAAGAAAGCAGTTCTGCACCATGGACTCAAGCCCGGCCTCCCACATTTAGGAAAAGGTTCATCACTCTGCAGGAGCGTCAGAATTTCCTAAGAGATCTGGCATTGYCTATACTGGAATGTGATAACAGGGGGAGGACACTCTCCCTGGTCACGTGATTCACTTCCTGGTGATCCTTGCACAACTAGCCCAGTGCCTGGTAGGGAGGGACAATCTGCCCTGTCCACTAGGGCCTGGATACTGTGCTGAGGGAGTGGGAAAGGAAGGAGAGAAACATCTCCTGACACAGCAAGCAGGTCCAGTCCTGTCTATGACCGTTTTCATGTTAAAAGGGCAAAGKTGAGTTGCAACAAAGGTCTATAAAGCCCTAAAGAGCTAGAACCTGGGCCTAGATAGAAAATTGCCAATATCCAGAATAAAACAAAATACTTTTCCTGAAAAACTTAGCCATAGTGAAAACAAGCTATTCAAATTCTGATTTTTATAAGGGTGTGTCATTAATAAGGTTCCTGGAACACCCCTCCGCCTCCATTCCATCACACTGACAGTGAAATCAGAAAATGCTGAATAAAGAAGTGGCACTCAGCAGGAGCCAGCAGCCTCAAGTCAGCCAACAGGCAGCACAGGCAGCTAGGAGGAGCGGCAACCTGGGGGCCACTCTCTGAATATATTCATGACTTTAGAACACAGGCAAAAGGGGAAGGCCCCATGCCTGGGAGTGCGAGCCGTGGCCTCCTGTACTCTCCAAAGTTGGTCCCTGTGAGGGGGGTGGAACTATAAAAAAATCAGCTGACCGGCACAGCCGGATGACATTATTTTAAACACCCCTTCTGGCAATAATGCCACAGCAGGTAATGTTTGGTTCATTCCCCTCCAGTTGGAAACTCAGAAGACAGTGCTTGATGCTAAATGAGAATAAGACTCAGGCTGTGTTGCAGGAGGCCCAGAGATGCTTAAAGTGGTGAACCACTAAAGGAAAAATGAACCACTGGTAAAACTATCCCAACCCCCCTCCCCATGAAGATGTGAGAAAACACAAATTCAAAGTGCTGTGTAATCCTAATCAAAGATCTGCCCAGTTTTTCAATACTATTTGATAAAGATGATAAGTGTTTTTTGGACATCAATTTATTATTAAACACCAGTACAGAGAGGTTTAAACACTGAAACTTTGGTGTTGATTCATTTTGAAAAGTTCTCTCTAAAGAGCTGCTAAACTTTTTAAAGTGAAAAATAAATTTCTTAAAATCAAAACAGTGACTCAAAAACCATATTTTATGCCTTCAACATGAATCTGGCCCTTCTCGTCATTACCGTAATTTACTGTTTTTTGTTGTTTTTTTAAACAAACATAACACAGCTAAAATTTCTCATCCATGGACAGTGCTTTCTGGGGATTTTAGTAGCAACACTCCCTCCAGTCCGTCTTTAGGGGCCATTCAGAGCAAAGGCCACATGCCCCACAAATGTCAACCAACTCATGAGAATGCCTGACAGAGGGTTGTGACACAAGAGCACCAAGTGACAGCCCCACCACAGGCCATCACCACTTGAAGCTGGGAGGAGGAGATCTCGGGAGCCCTTACGGTGTGAGATGGCACGGAGTGGGGCTTGATGGTGGGGTTGCCCGCAGATGTGACCTTCGTCTGCTTCTGCAGATGGTCCACCCATTCCTGCAGGTCCTGTTGGTTGTTGCAGGACACCAGTATCCGCTCGATCATGCTCCCTGGAAAGGAGGGAAACAGACTGAAGTGGAAACTTGGGCAGGAAGCACATACACGCACATGCCCAGAACACGACTCAGCAATGCTTAAACGTCACCCTCCAAAATGCATCAGCAAGGTCTGCGCTCAAGAGACAGGCTGCCTCCCTGGCGGGGACAGACAGCACACACACGGCTTGTGCCTATCACCTGATATTTCAAACGCATTCCTATGATTTTCACTGTCCTCAAGTTTTGTGATTGTCATTCCTGTCGTTGGTAGCTTTCCCTAAAAAAGACCCCCCCCACAAAAAAATGCAATTAGTGCCTTTCTAGTAAAGAAGTTCTGTTATTAAAATAAATATTAAATGACTTTGGAGGTGGCAATGGTGTCATGCTGCTTGTGGCAGTGCACGCATAATATAAAGAAAACTCAGGTAAGGAATCAGCCTACAGAACGATGAATGTTCAAAAAGCTAAAGTTCAAAAAACAAAGAAAAATTTCATCTGCTCAATTACTCTAAACAAACACTAGGACATAAAAACATTACCTACTACAACAAAACTAACGTGTATCACAGCTGTTTCAAAGGACACAGAAGGGAGTAAGCTCAACACATGAAGGCAGAGACAGGGTGGGAGATGRGTCAGGCACACGGGCTGCCTTACCAGTTACAACGCAGTCTGCCCACAGCAAAGGGGCTGTGCTAAAGCACTGCAGGGCAGGCAGCCACCCTGAGGGATCTGAGCAAGGAAYGTCAGCTGGAGACACTCAATGGGGCCAGGCTGATGCCCATACACAAAGCAGAGCTAGCCCCAAATGTCACCCTCCAAAACAACACAGCAGCAAAGGTCTACACTCAAGGGACAGGCTGCTTCCCTGGAGGGAACAGACAACACTACAGCTTATGCCTATCACATGGTATTCCAAATGCACAGCTTGCCCTGGGCACGCAGACCACACAACTGGACTAAGCCTTTAGGGAAGTTGGGGTCATTCTAAGCCAAGCTGCATGGAGCCACTGTAAGCAGAGGAGCAGGACTGCACCAGCACCCAGACACAGAGCTCCCACAACACACAAGGGACGTCCCCAGACATGTGGTAGTACCACAACATGCAGATGCTCCCAACATCAGGTAGGCAGAGGTCAGAGAAGCAATCACATCCTATGGCACAAGGACAGTTCCCCCCATCTCGCCTCCCAAGTAAACAATCATCCAACCCAAAGTGTCAGTGATGTGAGGCTGAAGAGCTATGTCCTGAAGCTCAGCAGCCAAGACAGCAGCTGACTGACACCAAGGCCAGGCCCATCCGGAAAACACAAGACATGCTCCTTTCCCAGACCCATTAGGCACAGGACTGCTGACAGCTGTGAGAAATGCTAAGAAAATGAAGCTGCAGATTCATGTTTTGCCTGGCACACCACAGCAGCAGCATGCACCTCAGCCCCAAAGCCAGTGTTCCTGCAGTGGGGGTTCCCTGCACCTGGGACAGGGATGTCCCTGGGAAACTGTCAAAAAGAAGAARGTGGGACCCTGCTGGTGAGACACCAATGCAACAGGCAAGGCAGCCTTGTCAGGGGATAAGGCCCACAGCAGCACCAGGCTTCACTCAACTCTGGAATAAGTGCCACACCTCCTTGACGCCCTAGTCCTTACTGGGACAAAACAAAACACACACCAAAGAAATGCCACCCAGAGAAAACAAAGATGTAGCTTCCCTCGCTAGCACATCTTGAAACCGGCCAGTTTCTGGAAACAGAGGTGGAGGTATTAGCTTCCATTGTCACAGAAAGTCATCACTGAAAACTGCCAAGGGTATCTCTCAGATACACAGAAGCTACTTAATACCCCCACTGTAAATCAGAGCAGCAGCAGCAGCAGACAAAAGCCCCGCCCCCTTACATTCCATCTCCAATCAGCTCTCCCATTTTCTCAAACAAAACCAGTGGAACAATTAAGAACAAAGGTCCAATGACAGCACTTGTGCTGATATAGCTGGGGGTGCTGTGTTATGTCTCACAACAGGCCCCAGCCCCAGCCCAGCCTGTGTTCCACAGAGCAGAAAGCAAACCCGGGGAGACGGATGGCACCACAGCCACCAGTGTGCTTCAAGGYCTCTCCACCAACACACTTCTTCCTTTCAGTTTGCTCAGAACAAACGCTGGTCTACATCTGAAGAGTCACACTGACACACAGGCGATGGATGCACACAGCACGGCATGCCTAGGACACAGCACGTACAGAAACAGGAACTGCTTCATGCTGAAGTTCAGAGCCAGCCTGAAACAATCCTCAGGTCTACCATAAACAATAAAACAGAAAACAGAATTCCAAACGTGTTTTACCTGATAGATGAAACCACTCATCCTGGGACTGCCAGACAACATTAGCAAAAGGTTTGGGAAGAGCAGAAGGTATCTTTCATTCTTTTCCTAATATAAAAAAACAAACAAATCCAAATAACTTTAAAAACACATCTATTTACAAATGTGAACACAATACTTTAAGGCCCTAGGAAACACTACACTATATTGGTTGTTTATATATTCCTAACAAAATGCATTAAATAAATGAAATGGAAACAAAATTATGATCAATTCTATGTTAACCCTTAATATATGAGAGAGTTTGAACACAAAGGTGAAGACCCTGGATTGCTAAACTATTCAATACAAAAAGAAAATAAACTAATCCTGGGTTCACAACACCTGTGAAGCATCTTTGAAAACTAAATAGTGAAGGAGTTCTGCTCTGCCATTAGCTATTTCTAGTTCATCTACAATTTTCTTTTCATGGTTTAGAGAAAGAGAATTTATAAAATTTTAGTGGGGCAAGGCAGAACCAGTGGATTCTTTGAGGTTAAGGAAGGATTGGACAAAATGTTAAAACAAATTCTATCATTGTTTCCTCGAATTTTGAGAGCTATATGTGCTTCATCCACTTCACAAAYGTTCTCTAGTTACACAAATGACTTAAAATAGTATGACCTGTGCACTTAAAATTCTTTGCTTCAATAGGTAACCAAGGCCAGGAATCTCAAAGGAAACAGAAATGGRAAGGCCAGATGGCCCCAAGATGTGAGGCCAACACTAGAAAGCAGTTTCCCAGGTGCCTTCTCCAGAACACATGGCCACACAACACACCTCAAAGCACCTCCAAAGAGAAAGGCTGTGTGTGTAAGACTCCTCTGGAAGCGACCATCACCCCCCCCCCCCCCCAAGACCCATGGTGCACCTGGGAAGCATCCCTCAGACTGTGGCCCGGATAGCCTGGGTCATTCTTAGAGCAACACTCATCAAGGCTGTGGCCATCTAGTGTACTAAAGAACACGCTCTTAGACGTGCTTCCCCTGGGTATCTTTAAGTTCACTTTATGTGAGTAAAAAGCAAACCACTTCTAGACAGGTCTAGGTGTTTTGATCATTGTGGTAAATAAGGAAATTCATTATGGCACACAGACTAAAGGATCTTGTCTGCAGGTAAATTTAAAAAGTCAGGTTAAGAAGGGATCAACAGTGCACACCAAATTCAGTTATCTAACCATCACAAGTTTGACAATGGGCATCAGCACGTGTTGCTTATATTTGCAAAGGTAGAATCAAACCATAAGAGACACCTGCTTAGTGACCCAAGAACCTGTAAGTCACCCACCTGCTCCACTTGCACTAAGTGGATACAGCACAAGTATCTGGTTTGATTTCTTACTTAACAAACTCTTAAGAAAATGGTTTTYACTCCCCTAAGTGAACACCAATTAGAATACATTAAGAGAAAAATGTAAGGGCCTAAGCCATCCACAACCACAGACTCCTCAGAGGGAAGCCCCTGGCTGGGCCAGTGCACAGGACCCCAGGGCAGCTGTTTGCACACCCTGGAAACCTGTAGTCCTGCTTCCAGTTCACAGGTCTGGACAAGTGGATCCTGCAGATCTAAACTGGTCAATAGCCCTCTATTGTGCCATAAGCCTCTCTTGTTTCTGTTGATATAGAAAGTAGAGCACAATTACAATCTGTTCTAGCTTGACATCTCTTCAAAATGGTCTATCATGAGAACTTATGGGTGGGTAGAGGCCACAGTGGTGCCCATGCACTTCAGTACCTCACTTCCTGCACACTGAATCATGACCTGGGACATGTAAATGACATTGCCCAGGGTCTTGATGTCATCTCCCTCCCAGCTTCGGATGGCTTCCGTCAGGATCTGCAACTCAAGCTCTTTCCTTTTTCGTACTTCTTGACACTGGGCCTGCAAGACACAGAACGTCCCTGTTCAAARAGACAGAAGCCTCCAGAATCTTAAGGTTTGGCTATATTACTTCTTAAAACAATTATTGTTTTGTGTCTGACTTCTTTACTTTTTAGTTGTAGACAGACACAATATCTTTATTTATTTTTATGTGGTGCTGAGGATCGAATCCAGTGCCTCACATGTGGAAGGCAAGTGCTCTACCAATAAGCTACGGTCCCATCCCCTGTGTCTTACTTCTTAAGAAAGACAAATCTATGGAACAATTTGCTTTACTGTCTGGAATAACAAGTTTTAAAAGTATATAATCAAGAGAAGCAAAGCACACAACTCCTCTGAGTACCAAATACTATTAGGAAAATGGCAGATTTTTGCCACTTTTAGGAAGTAGAAATACAGAGTGGAGGGCTGCGGCTATAGCCCAGTGGTAGAGCACTTGCGCAGAATGTGGGAGGCACTGGGTTCAATCCTCAGCACCACGTAAAAATAAATAAAGGCACTGTGCCCATCTACAAAACACACACACACACACACACACACACACACACACACACACACACATATATATATATAAATATACAGTGGACAAGACAAATATTTTTCTTCTGGCTTTATTAGTGTCTGCCAACAAAGAAGACTGATAAGAGGAAAAAGAGTGAGAACAATTTGCACTATATATAAAGGACAACTTAAAACACAGCTGGAACAACATGACAAGAGAAGAGACAGAACCCCAGCACTACACTCCCCAGAACACCACTAAAGAGCCTGTGCATGGAGGTTTGGAAATGCAGCATTAATTATGCTATGCCTCTTCAAAAGGGAGAAATCATCACTTCATCTTTCTGGTGCCCACAATCTTCTAATGCAAGAGAATTTCCTAGCCATGGAATGCTGTCTTAGTTCTTAGTTCGTCACAAGTAATGTCTTTGMATCTGACCTTTTCAGCTGCCGATTCTACATTCATTTGCCATCACATGTCTGTGGAAGAAACCATGGTGTGCTTGCCCACTTACTGCAAGGGTCATTCCACATATATTTTGTGGGTACATTATAATTGTACATAATGGGAGATTCACTGTTACATATTCGTACATGCAAATGTCACAGCAATATAAWCTGGGCAATATCATTCCCCAGTGGTCTCTTTTCACTCCCTCCCTTCCTGCTCCCAGGTCCCATTCCTCCACTATACTCACCGCAAGGGTTTTGAAGGCAGTCATGGATCTCTGAATGTCTTGTCTATCAGGATGATAATCCTTTAGATAAAGAAACATGCTATTAGCTTTCACAAAAGCTTTTCTTAAAAGGCCTCTCTCTGTAGCTTGGCCTAAAACCTTTCCAAATCTTTGTCCTCGACAAGCACTTTTCTTCTTAGCATCACAGTAGCAATCCTATTCTTTAAGGGCATCATGGAGTCAGTGGGTTCAGGGGAATAGCCTGAGCAATGGTCAGCAAACATGTTCTGTAAATGCAGCTTTGCTGAACACGACCACCTCTATTTGCAGGGCATCTCTGATTCTCAGCTGCAGAGTGGCCAAGCCATGCTCAGCAACTGAAGGGGAGGCCTGAGGAGGCCTGATGAACCATCCGGCTACAGACAGGTTGCCTTCCCAAGTCCAGAGAATACCTGAAACCTGAATTTGTCAGGTCTGCAACTTGTTAATCAAAATACCATTTGGAAATGAGTTCACATTTTCTAGTGTTTTTTTAAAATTATATATATTTTAGTTGTAAATGGTCACAATACCTTTACTTATTTATTTTATATGGTGCTGAGGATCGAACCCAGTGCCTCTCACATGCTAGGCAAGGGCTCCACCACTGAGCTACAGCCCCAGCCCCCATTTTCTAGCTTTTGGAAACTGTCCTATCAGCAGTGGTAGATGAGAGAGCAAGAAGGCAAAGCAGCAAATGCTTTCTTACAGAACAAGAATAAGGAGAAAAACTTCATATTTAACAAAGTTATTTTGAAAATTCACTAAGTTACAGATTCTAAACTCTGTGTTGGTCCTGGCTTCTAAAGTGAATCACTAATGATACTGTCCCTGATAGCAGTCTGACCCATGTCATCCCTCCTTGCTCAAGGACTCAGGGTTGGAAGGGAGGCAGCACCTCCATGTGTCTCTCCAGCTCCTTGAGCAGCGTGGGGTATTTGTCCAGGCGCATGAACGGTTTGCTGAGGCCAGTGGTCAGCACCAGGATCCCAGGGCTGCTGGCACCTTTTGTCTCCATGAACTCCCCCAGGTCCTCGCTGGCAACAGGGGCATGGTGGAAAAGAGAAGATGCTTGGGGTTAGGGCAAAAGACAATATGGCAAGGCTTCTGTTAGTGAGGGCCAGTGTTTATGAATGTTGCAGTTTTTACAAACAAACCTGTGCTGTTTATCTCAAGACACCAAAGGGAACTCCAAAAAGGTTCCTCTCCCACAGAATACATGCAATTCCATTCGCAAAAGGGTCCCCCAGTATGTCACAACATGCAGACCTGTCCAAATGGAAGTTCACGCTCTTAGAGCTGCAATAGATTCCAAGCATCTCAGAGTCTCAAGATAGCAAGAACTGCCATCAAACTGCTCAAGGGAAAGACATTCCTGAACCGGGTGAGCTACACAAGGGCCACCTGCACCTCAAGCGGCCCAGTGCCACGCACCAAATGCCTTTTCATTGCCTTCTGCAGAGGTGCACCTCCCACCTGCGGGCGTGCACCGCAGCACTACAAAAAAGACCAGGTCCTTGGGCTCTGAAGCAGAAGCAGCACATCACGCTGTCACCACATTTCACCCTCAGCATAGAGGGAGATGGAAAAACCAAGGACATGCCCATAAATTAGAAACCTAAAAGAAGTCTGAAACACCTTCCTATTCTTCTGCCACCGTCCCTTTACTACATTCACCTAACATTTTCTATGACTAGTTCTCCCAAGCCATTCATGTCTACAGCCACTGTCCCTGCTCCAAGATCAACAGGAATCAATGAGYAGGCACTGTGGGGACTGTTGTCACCAACACCTATGACTGCCAACACAGAACAGGTGACCTATAAGGTGCCTGCTAGGGCTCAAGGAGGCTCTCCCTCACTGTGTATACATCATCCAGACATCAGGAGCCCCACAGCTGTAGGTGAGAAAGGGGGGCAAGAGTTAAGGGAGCCACATCCTAGGAGACCAGGGTGACATATCCCCTCCCCGTCATCGTACCAAGTCCCAGAGGCTGGGGTGTTACCCCAGCCACCATGTCATGTTCCAGGAGACCAGGGTAACCTCCCACCCAGTCATGCCAAGTCCCAGGAGACAAGGGTAGTACCCACACCTCAGTTACCATGTCACATCCCGGGAGACCAGGGTGATGCACAGAACTCCTACACATATACAYAAATCACACATTTGACACCAAAATCAAAGCAAACCATAAAAAAGGGAAACTTTACATAATCCCAGTTATAACAAATTAACAGGCATAATGCACATTCCCTCAATTCTATATATAGAAGAGGCTTGGTAATTATTTTACTCCTGTAAGAAAGAGTCTATCATGATGATACAATTTTAAAAAAATTATCAGCAGAGAAACTATTCAACTTCTTCTAGGAGTGTGTGACAAAATTATTCAACTACTTCTAGGAGTGTGTGACAAACCTTTTCACAGGCAGCATCTCAACTTCTTTGTGTCTGGTTTTGTGCTCTCTAGACACCATCTTCCCAGGGAAACTGCAGGGCTGGATTAACTGAAAGTTCAGTGAAGTATGCGGGCCCCACTGGACAGCACCACACTGTGCATCCAGAGGCATGCTGCTGCAGAAGCCAGAGCAGCAAGCAAGGCCCTGGGTACACAGCCACACTGCCATGGTAACCAGAGGCCCTCTGCCACCCTGGTGTCAACCTTCCACACTGAGGGCACTGCTGCCAGCAGACCCTCAGGACCAGGGCAAGAAAGGAAGCCCAGACACCCAGGAGCACATGCTTTTGCTGGCGCGGTGCACTGCCCAGGCTGCTGCTGCTAGCTGAGCCAGACCCCCACCACTGCTGCTCACCCTTGCAGCCCCCAGAGTCTTACTGAGAAAAGCTGGTCTCCTGAAATCACTCATTCTGCCAGTCCCGAAAGCAGGAGTAAAGTGGGAGAAATTTCTATTTTACCAACATTTCTCTAAAATGAACACACACTTAAAGATCAGTCTTTATGATATTAAAACCATATTTCAATTCCTTTAAACATAATCTATACCGGGTCTTTTCCATCAAGAAAGAAAGCAAAAGTCAAATTTCGTATAGTCATGGCAGAAAAATAAACAAAACTGAACAAGTYATGCTCATCACCTCCCTCAAAACTCCCCAAAACTAAAAACATGAAGTGAAATTTTAACAAGCAAAAGTAGCTTCTTGTAATATCCACAACATTCTTATGATTCCAGAACATGTGTACACATCCCCAAAAGGAAAGAAAACAGTATGAGCCTTCATGGATCACGCTTCGTTCTATAGGGTTTTTAGTACTATAAACAAAGTAGGTGGTTACAGCTATGGGATAAAACAATGGCTCTTTCGGCACCATTCCTACTGCTGCCAGCAGCCACAGTCTCCCTCCTCTGCACCTACTGGAATGACACCATGGCAACAAGGGAACRAGGTAAAAAGAACTATGTGGCCAAGCAAAGAGTAGCAAACAGCTGAGGGGAAAGCCTTTTTTTTTTTTTTTACAGACCCATTTATGAAGATAAGCATCTGCAGTCCCATGATAATGGAAAGGCATTAGAGCTCTGCAGAACTGGAAACAGCATGTGTTTGCCAGAAAAACAACCCAAAGACTGGGAGCTGTGGGTGCAACCATCTGTGTGTGTGTGTGGGGGGGTGTGGAAGCAGGTTCCCACACGTGCTGCAACCCGTGCACAGGTAAGACTGTCAGCTTCAACGCACTACACTCACACCAGTCCTCAAAACCTAGGCTCAAGCCTAAGACCAGATGGGACACCCCGCGGTGTGGTAGCTCACAGGCACTCACACTGAAGGACAGACGGAAGAGCTGCCCATTCAGACTCTGAGTATAACCACAGGAGTGCTGAYAGCAGCTGTCAGGCGTGAGCACTCGCCATCTCAACGAACGCAAGTGCACTTTGGAGCAGGGCATAATCTGTGGCAGACAAAGGGGGAACTTTCTGGGCTCAGGGGAGACAGGAAGGAACACGGGCACTGTGCACTGCTGTGACTGCCAGCACCTGCTGGCTCTGAGGGACTCTCCTCTCTGGCTTAGCCCCTGGGAGCCACCTGCTGCAGGGCTGCCATCCGGCACGGGACCCTAGACTCCCACTCCATGCTCAGCATGCCAGCCACATGCAGCAGGCCTGGAGGCTCTTGCTCACAACCTTATCTGTACTCCTTCCTCTAAGTACCTTCTGATAAAATGCTGTGTTCGCCTTTCAGACACAACAGAGCCRCTGAGGCAACAGCACACAAGAGGGTAGACACAGCACTCCCGTGAGCATTTCTCCTGAAAGGGTTACACTTCAAGATACCCCAAGTCTCAACTGCTCCACACACCCTTGTTTCTACAGGAAAAACCCTTACAAGTCTTTGCCAGGACTGTGCACCCATCCCTTTCTAAGCTCTCAACCTTCTCTACAGGAGAGCCTCTCTCCAAAGAAGAGGCGGGGGGATACACAGAAAAGATCTTAGAATTTTCTGTAACACTCCACTTGCTTTTTGTGGACCTCTTCCCATCACTGCATCAATAACTTCTGAAGCATTTTCATTCATACAAACCTAATACTTGCTTTTCACTTTTATGGAAATTTCATTTAATTTGTGATTTCCTGAAGTTGATGGTACAGCACATATTTGAATACACACTTTGCACATTTAGGACAGTGCGTGGCTAAMATGGCCTCTGCCTGTGGCAAGGATGGGTCTCTCAGATCTCCCTTTCCCACAGCAGATGAGCATTTGAGCCCCTCGCCCCCTTCCTCACACTGTCAAAGGCTGCTGCTTCACTTCAGGACAACACCAATGGGAATATGAACAACTAATCCTTTTGCATTGAGCACAGGCGGCCCAGATCACTTTACTTCTTTTAACAGACAACAAAACAATGCACCTTTATCACGTTCGCTCCAATCTGACCAGTCTGTACATTCAGACCAGCTCAAAGCTTACTACAGCCCTGGGAGCAGGATTTCCAGTAAAGGGAGCTAAAGCCCAGAGGCACAGGCCCTGCTCCCACGGGACTCTCCAGACACTGCAGCCTCCACAGCAGGCCAGCAGACAAGCAAGGCCAGCACATCAAAGCTGCTTGTTGTGTTTTAAAAGGAAATGTTAAGAATAAGCCGAGGTTAAATTTGGAAATTAGAAGCACAATGGCATTTCTCTTGATGCTACTGAATTTTTTTTTCCCAATTACAGTTTTGAAAAACTTCTGAATTGCCAATTTTGAAAAAAACCATGAAATCACCTCTAAAACATTAATAAAAATACTGTGCTTCTCTGAGAAACAGAAACCAAATCTCTGCCCTTCAGTCATCCACATGGTCATCCGGCACAAAGCCATCACTAGCGCTCAGCAGTCACTGGAGCMGGGCTGCTCCTCAGTCACTGGGACAGCTACCCGGCTTCCTCTCCCCAGTAACAGGAGACAGACATGCCTCATCCCTTTGAGAAAATTTACATGTTCTGTTTTACATGTTCTAATGTTGTTACAGTCTGAAAGGCTCAAGGTAAAGGTCTCTAATGCACTGCTCTATCTGCGCAATCAAGTCCTCGTTTGAAATGGGACTCTCCTCATACAGCCTCCATCCTTCAGCTTTGCAACCCAGGAGCACTCAGAGTCCCTCAGCCTTGACTTGGCTGATGGACAAAGCCCCAGTGCTTCCCAGCTCCTCCAACCCACCACCCAAATGGGTTAGGCTGAAGGGTGACTTCAAAAGGACCCTCTTCTTTTACAAACACCAAGTACCATTTTAAAGTTTCTCGAGCACTCATTTTGAGAAGCAATTAAAATGAAATCACCCTGCGTATCACAGTCTATCTGGGAGCACARAGCTGCTGATCTTCCCTTTGCTCTGACATCTCAGTGAACAGACCTGTGCTCTGTAAGGACGCTCACGGCAGATGGGTGGTTGGCACAGTAGGCAAGGTACAGGGTCCTCATTTGTGGCATCAGGTTCAGAAAGCAGCCACCAACTCTCTGCTGGGCCTCGGGTGACCTGGAGACACAGGAGGAGACAGCGTCAGTGCTACAGACAGGAAAGGTGTTGAATGACAGGTGACCCATGGGTTTAGGCAGGATCACAAATCCCAGACCCATCTGTTCCAACCTCCAACTGAGCAGGCAGGAGGGTCTGCCACAAAAAAAACTCCACTCTCAGGCTCCCTCCTACAGCTCTAGACTATCAGGCTGGCACACCAGACAAAGCCCAAGCTCTTCAGGCAGTGGGAAAATTTGATATCACAAAGCCTTTAATTTTGCATAAAAAGAGGAGAGTTACCAAATGTGGTTATCTGTTTGTAAAGTTTCCTAGGAAGCAGCATGGAGGCTGGCACAAGAAAAAGCCCAAGAGGCACCTTTCACTTCAGGCTGCAGAGACTGAAGACAGATACACCTGTTAGTGCCCCTCCTTCCCAATCAAGGCCACGCATAGTGACAGCTCATGGCTAAAGGCAGAAACTTGCTAGAACCTGCTGTGGAAGCAGAGACGCAGTGAGCAGTGCAATGCTGAGCAGACCCAACAAGCTGAAGCCCACCTGTCTATCCAGACCTTAGGGTGCTTCTGCAAGCAGGACACCACATGCCCTCCCTGCACCCTAAACAGTCTCTGCCCACCAGCACAATGACAAGAAGGATCATATCCTGCTCTCTGAGGACTCCAGCCAGAGAAAGTGRCCCAAAGATATCAATGCTACGGACTCCTCAACACCATGAGAATCAGCTAGGCTGGAGCAGTGTCAGTCCCTCCCCCTGTGTTCTTAGCAAGTGTGCCTTAGTTACAAGGGGCACTTAGCATGCATGCCTTAACCATAAGAAGACATGCAACAACCAACATGAGATTTTGGGAAAATAAAAAAAAAAAGAGAGAGAGAGAAAATGAGAATAATAAAAACAAAAAAGAAGTGACAGTTACTCTCCAGAGAGCAGAAAAGTTTTTGAAAGATGTCTAATTAATCCAGAAATAAAAATAACAAAAAAAGATACTGCAACCATGAAAAAAAGGAAAAGATTCTATTAAGAACATTCAAAACAAAAATTAAAAAGCATTCTAGCAATAAAATAATGACAGGAGAATTGAAAAAGTCAACAGGAAATTGGAAAGTGAAATTCTAAAAATCTTCCAGATTAGTAGGAAAGGCAAAGAAAATTAGAAGACCAGAGTAAGCCTTGACACATCAGGATAAAAGTTCCAGACATGGAAACAAAGACAGGTAAGCACAAATGAATCAAGAAATCTTCAAAACAGCAGAAAGGATAAAAGACACATGCTGCATGCCAACTGGAGAAAGTCATGGAATCAGGGAGAACAGAGTCAGACGGAAAGTGCCCCAAGTGTTGCATGGTGGGTGAAARCAGACCCAAGAGAAACACAAACGCCCCAAATCAGGACCCTAGAAACACAGCTACTAAAAGCTCCAAGAGAGAAACACAGGTTCTCACAAAGATTGGAGTCAGAGTTGTCAGAGGTTCCCACCATCAGAGCCCCAAAACCAGTGCCAACAACAGTAACAGTGGGTACAATCCTGGGTCCACAATCCAGTGTCATCTATTAAGCAGGAGGCTGGGCTGACCACCCACCTAGAGGATGCACATCACTAAAACCAGGAATCAGGAAAACAGAGTAAAACAGTAGGGGCTGTGTGTGTGCCCCAGGATGAGGCCCAGCCTACTTGGGCAGGGAATGCAACTTCTGTTCCACTACCCCCTCAGTAAACGCTGTCTTAGTCCATACCTGGTGCCATAACAAAAGGCCTTGGAAATGGGTGATTTTATAAATAAGGACCCACCTCTCAAAATGTCAAGGTATTGGCAGATCCAGTGTGTGGGAAGGGCCTATGTCTACTTCTAAGGTGGTGCCTCATGGCTGCATCCTCACACAGCCCAAGAGGGAATGGCTCTTGAGCCCCTCCTTTATGAGGATGACAATGCCATCCTCGAGGCTCTACCCTCAGGACCTAATCCCCTCCAAAAGGCCCCACCTCTGAAGATCATCTGGTGGAGGATTAAGTCTCAACAGATGAGACTGGGGGACACATCTAGACCATAGCACACTGAGCTTTTTAACTATGCTGCTACCTTGCARCCAGGACCCAGAACAGCGTCTGCTAGCCTCTGACCCTTTCAAGTCTCTAGACAAGTCTCCTCTGGTTTCCACACCCCAGCAATGGTCCTCCACCCAAGGCTGCAAAGTACCAATGGAGAAAGTCATGTAATCAGGGAGAACAGAGTCAGGAGTATTAGGAAAAGTCTTTCCTTCAAAGCACAAAGCACTCAAAATCACGTTGCCTTTGTTTTCTCCCTGTTGTTCCATAACCTTCACTCATCCCTGTTGTTTACAGGCTCAAAGGCTGTTCCCGACCTACTAAAACCTGCCCTAGGATGGTTGTGGGAAAGACAGGGAAGTAACACTGCAAGCCCCCAGCACCTCTCTCCTGGCTCCTGCCACTAGCCTTCCCTTCTACTTCAGGAAGTCTGTGGTTTTAAAACACACGGCAGAAAAGAGATACTGGTGTTGGACACTGACCGCTGCTTGCTGCTCAAGTGGAAACAATTCACAGATGTAAATACGAAGTTGACAAAAAGCAGAGAACAAAAAGACCTGGGGAGCGTTAAACAGCTGTCCATGTAAAAAGCACCTCTCAGCCAGTGCCTGACTRAAAGGAAATGCCCTCAGTACACTGTGCCTTAATGGTTCTGCTCTAGAAGAGACAGGTGTCCACTGTGAGTATTTCAAATTCTCATCTTTTTCTTCTCATGGAGTTCTCTTTTAATTGTGTATATGAGCAAACAGGTCCCTACCCAGAGCAGCAAAAGAAAGCTCCCAGGAGCACAGGAAGTGCCTTCGGGGAGTAGCAAGTTCAGTACCATCTACAATAGCAAGGCCATCATGCCTTTAGGGGAGGCTGAGATGAACAGATCCACACACAGAGGGAGGTCTGCCCTCCAGCTTCCTCCAATGTGCTTCTTTGCCTTCCAATTCACTAGCCAAAGATGGCTACATGAAATTAACTGAAATTAAATAAAAGGAGAACTCCAGCTTCCTGGCAGCCAGCAGCCACTACACCAGGAAACAMCTGCAGGGAACATGCATCCTAGCTCACCAGACCACATTTCCAAACGCTGAGTGGGCCACACACTTAGCATGGGTTTTACGTTTTGATATAGTCACCCTTAACTGAAGTCAAAGTGTTTCCAAGTGTGAGCCACTCAAAGGGGTTCTGACAGCCTCTCAGGACTGGCCACAGCTCCTTCTGCCTGCAGGGCAGAATTGCCACAGCAAAGTAGCTTCAATTACTCATTCAGCACCATTACCCAGCACTGGGGAGAACAAAGCAGAGTAAGAGTAGTCTCTTGCCTTAGAAAAACGAGCGCCATCTTTCTGGAAAATACAAAACAAGTGCACCAGTGAACTGGACAGGAGACAGGGCACGAGGAACAGGTATAGCCTACAGAAGAAAAGTGTCCACTGGGAGCACGCAGGCAGAGTCAGGGGCTCACACCCAACAGAGGCACACGCACAAGGACAAACCAGGGCCACCTGCCCTAAAGATACACACACACAGACACATGTGTTTTGAGAACAGTAGGTCCTGCCATCTAGCAGGTGAAAGGCATACTCAGACAGGTGAAACGCCAAGAAAAGGGTGGCTTCCAGGATGAGAGAGGACCCCAAGAGGCTTAGCCAAGTGGATTGAAGACTACTGCATAAAAATGGGGCACCAAGGGGCTGAGCTTATAGCTCAGTTGGTAGAGTGCTTGCTTTGCATGCACAAGGCCCTGGGTTCGATCCCCAGCACCACCAAAAAAAAAAAGAGAGAGAGAGAGAGAGAGAGATGGGGTGCCAAAGTTATAAGAACAATGGCCAGAGAGGTGGCACAGGGACAGTATTAGATAATCTCACGTGGGTTAAATTACTACAATTGTGTACACATTGCCCAGTACAGGCATACACTGTTAGGATTTCACCCCCTACCTGGTTCAATGCCACAGCTCTGGATCCACTCAAAAAAGACTACACCGGGGCTGGAGTTGTGGCTCAGTGGTGGAACACTCACCTAGCACATGAGAGGCCCTGGGTTTGATCCTCAACACCACATAAAAATAAATAAAATAAAGGTATTGTTTCCAACTACAACTAAAAAATAAATATTAAAAAAAAGAAGACCACACCCAAAGTCTAGATCAATGGATTTCATGTCTCAAATTTGTCAACTGATGAAAATCAAAGAGTAAGTATCAGGCATAAAGGAACAATAACCAGTGACTTTTTCTCTTCTGCTACACTGAATCTAAACTAGAGTTCTGTTACCTCTTAGGCATGAACTAGCTCTTAAGAACACAGAACCAGCACTGGATTACTAGGCAGCTTCATAATGAATTACTCATCTGGTAAGGGACTCATGGGACAACCAACAAGCTCATAGATGTGAGCACAGAATGTGACTTGAGAACTGAAACAGAGAATCTTCTTCTGGTTCTCTCGTGCTTCTCAGGGTGTGAGAGCAGGCAGGTGGAGCACAGCTCGTGGGTAGCTACATAGAAAAGCACCCTGTTAGCTCCTCCCACCTGTAGCCTCCAGTCAAGCCAATGCCATAGTAAAAAGCACGTGTGGTGGTGTCACCACACAGCCAGAAGACCGTGGCAGCCACATACAATGTCTACCCCCATGCCGTACAGCACAGCATCAGTAGGAGGTTAAAGAGGATGTCCATAGAAGCTTTCTCAGGTATTTTGCTGGGACCTGGCCATTTTTTTWAAAAAATGGTATGTTTTCATAGCTTTAATTTTCAAAAAAAATGGCCAGGTCCCAGCAAAATACCTGAGAAACCAGAGAACGTCTATTTCTGCTCCTACAACACCTACTCCTATTGGTCCTGCTCATCAGAGAGAGGAAAGGACTCAGTTTACTAACTGTTCATTGCAGATGAGGCTGAGATCAACAGGAAGATGAAACTAGGACCTGAGTAGACCTCAGTTGTGTCCCTGTTCTCAGTGAACCCAGCACAGTCTGTCCATGTCACACTGACACCTTCAGAGATGAGACTTCACAAGCAGTTTCCTATTTATTTTTATATATTTTGAGAGCCACAGTTAAGTCSGGCCACCAAGGGCCGCAGTCTGGCTGGGCACAAAATAACCGAGCCGCCACAAAGCCTTGTAGGTTCAAACAGCAACTCTTTATTCCCGAACTCTCACCAGCACTCCACACACACTTCCCGGGAACACACTCCTTCCACCAGGCTCTGCGCCAATTCTCACGGGAACTCCAAAGTAGTTGCGCCCAAGGCAGCAGGATCCGCCCTATTCCTGGAGCAGGGTCACCTTTCAACTATTCCCTCTGGCAAAATGTATATATATATATTTTTTTTTTTAAATTGTTGCTAGACCTTTATTTATTTATATGTGGTGCTGGGGATCGAACCCAGTGTCTCCTGCATGCCAGACAAGTGCACTACCGCTAAGCCCGAGCCCCAGCCCCAGTCTCCTAGTCTTACTCACAGTGGGACCACAASTGTCAACACCATAATGGCCACAGGCCTGGCAATCTGTTGGCAAGTCTGCTCTTGTTGGCCCCAAAACCAAAATGAAAGAATATAACCCCATTTGTCCCAATTGTGGCCCCCAGGACCAGCATCACAATGGCCTCATTTTTGATACTTCTTTGAAGGATGTGTCTCCCTAATGTCTTTCATTAAYAGTGRCATTATGTAAACTGTTTCTAGATGGCCAGAGCTTATTCTCTCTTCTGGTAGGACCATTCACAAGCCTCTGAAACTTCATGATGAAACAGTGTCCCATATATGACAATGTGACACAAAGCAGAAGAGAGGAAGTTATGAGAYACTGTAATCACGCAGGGTTGTGAGAAGCCAGCTGTGGCCCTGAAGGTCACCAGAACAGGGTGAGGGCAGGAGAGCAGAAAATGAGAGAATGGGGGGGGGGGCGCAAGGGAGAGAGCAGAGTTGCCAGCAAACCCTGCACCCCCACTGACTGCCAGCCTATATGTTGGCATCCACTCTTAACAAAGAGCTAGAGAGCTGGTATGTTTTCATAGCTTTAAGTATTAGAAGAGCATTGCGGTCAATACCAAAATAAACACAAGTAAAGCATGGAATGACAGCAAGAACATTCCACAAAGAGAACAACCTGGAGATTCTGTTTTCAGCAGAACTTAACCTGCTTTACACAATAATACACAAGCAAGTCCCCCACTTAAAAGCCTTGCTTTAGAGGCTCTGCCAGAGTCCCACAATCCTCCAGAACTCATTTTAAAGCCACAGCTACATACCCCTGACTAGTGAGAATGGTATCAAAAGAAAAGCTCTTTAAATCACAGTCTAATGTGCCTCCAATAAAGCAAGTGTAAAGAACTCTCCATCACCTAAAGTGATATTTTAAAGGAAAACTGCATTCCCAACACTATACTCAGAGAGCATATGCTGCTTCAGCTCTCCCTACAAATTGCCCACCGAAATGAGGCTGAGCACGTTCCCACTGTGAGCTGACAGCCTGGGCTCTAGGCCTGGCTGGGCCTGCGGCTTTCCTCTGAGGCAGCAAGAAGAGTCCACTCCAGGTCAGTAGAGGGCAGGGGTGAGCAGCAGATGGGTAGAGCCCACTGGCAACAATGTTGCTAACTACAAGATTCAAAACCATACTTCAAGACTCATAGTAGGAGGGGCTTCTCAGAATCAGTTCATCTTTCACATTAAGCAAAGGGGAGACCACTTGGGCTCCAAATCAGAGTCCACCATTCCCATGGCCGAGGGCCAATCACCCTGTCCCTTGGGGATACAGACCTTCCTACCTTTACAAAGCTCCCCCATGGGGTCATCTACAGGGTCACATAAGTTAATACGTAGAGARCAAAGTCAGTGCCTGGGACACATTAAGAAGATGTTCATAAATGGTGGGCCTACATAAAAAGTTCACTTTAAGGGGCTATTTGCCACTTACAAAAATGAAATAAACTCTAAAAAAACACCTGACAGCAGGTTGTACACATATGGTACTTTACATCCACCAGCTTCTTAAAGGCCAGGAACAAGTCACAATTACAAGACCTTGCTGGAAAACGCCAGCCTTCTCGATCCCCCTCTGCAGCTCATGGTGGCGTATGTGGAGCCGAGCCACCTGTGGCCTCCTGGCCAGCCCCCATCCCAGTTCCTCTGCAGCCTCTTCCTCGTAACTCTCCCTCCCCTTTAAAAAAAAAAAAAAAAAAAAWCAACCTTGTCAAGACTTTCCCCTTTCTTTCAAGATCTCTATTATAAAAACTAGATCATCTAAAATATAGCTTTAACTATAAAGGTAGATCTTCCCAAAGGATATAAAATAAGCAGTTTGCATCTTCAGAAATGTGAATTCTAAAATGATGTTAAACTTGATCCATTTGGTTCCAATAATACCAATCTGAATTTTGTAAACTTCAGCATCTTACTTACTTGGTGCATTCTTCTAAAGACTGTACAAGCATTTGCTGGAAAGAACATATCTCCTCTAGATTTCCCATTAAATATGAAGTATTTGCTGAACTTAACCTAGAGCCAAGAAAAATAACAGTAAAAATTAGTCAACAGTTTGGCTTGCATTCCCCCGATTCCCAGCCCAGGTCCTGTTGCAGTCTTAACCTARCAGATACACTGCTGTGTCTGAGGCAGACTCCTCTGCTGAGTTCCACTCCATCATTTCAACCTCTACTTCCCAAAAATAAGAATATAAGAGAAGAGCCTAAGGTAAGGACCAACAGTGCATGCAATTGTCATCTAACTTACTTCTCACTGGTCTGCAATGGCCGTAGGTAAGTTGAAAGCACGGTTTGAAGTTCTTTAGAATATTCATTTTCTGTTTCTAAAATATTCTGTAGCACCTACAATAAATGATGAATAAGCATTATTTGACACTAAAATTTGTAAACTTTAGGACATTCATAACCATTGTTCAATTTACATATGGCTTCTAGGTAATACTAAAGTGCTGGATGTAATTATTCCTTGGATTAACTTCTGTTCCCATGTCATAAATTATTACTAAGGTCACCCATCAGATTTCATCTTCCTGTCAACCACACTTGGCACAGGTATGCATAGAATGAACTTGAATGAATTCCATCATCAAATAAGCAGGGCCACATCTATTTAGATGAAAAGGATGGTCCTCAGAGGAATGCACAGATGACCGTCTACACACAGGGCTATGCAGGAGAAGTATTACATCCCCATCTACACTAAGTCCACAAGCAGGCACAACTTATCTATGGTGACAGAAATCAAAATGGGGTGGAAGATGGGTGGGGAAGGGAAAAGGGACACGGGATAAATTTCTGGATGATTTGTTCTGTATTTTGATTTCGGTAGTGGTTACACAAATAAATGCATTTGTCAAAGCTGTACCTTTAAAATCTATGCATTTTAATATACAGGGTAAGCATAATTCAAAAACCAAAGAGCTCCACACTCTAAAACTTTGTTAGCACAGACATGATGTTTGAAAAGTTTCAGATCTTGAAAAGCTTTAAATTTTTGGAACATTTTAGGTTTCAATAAATAATGCTARTAAAATCTATGCAAATATCTAAAATACAAAATCTTCCAACTCAAACAGTTCATGTCTCAAGCCTTTTGGTAAGAGACACTTATAAGTGAAAAGTATCCCAACTAAATGGAAGACACTTACTCTTTAGATTGGATCTGAAAAACTGAAATCAACTCCTGCGAACTAAAGCCTTTGATTAGAGAATGTGGTAAAGTCTTGTATCATCCTACATACCACATCTACTAAAACTTAAAGGTCTGCCCAAGTAAACAATCTTTAAATAGCTACTACTTTGTTTAAAGATATCATAATAAAGTAACCTTAAATAATAGCACAACTTAAAAGGTCTATGCTATTTAACCTTAAATAATAATAAATTTATTTAATCTTAAATAATAAACTAACCTTAAAATTAAATGTGTATGTGTGTGCGGGGGGCGGGGGGCAAATTCAGCCAAATTTAGTTAATCCCTAAAACCTGGCAGATGAAGTGCAAAAGAGTTGAAGCAGAGCAACGGTCCCCATCAGCCATCACCCACAGCAAAGGTGCCTCCCTGGGAACTCCAGGAGGCAGCAGGGTACCCCCCCAGCCCAGGGAATGCCACTGATCATGGGATTCTGATGGACTGGGTTCTCCAAGCAGTGAYACTCTGTACATGCCTAGCACCAAGCATATGGTATCTGTGATCCTTGCAAAAACACATTTCCTTCTAAGAAGCTAATTTGYCCTACCCACATAAGACAGCTGGTGAGCAGCAGAGCCAAAAAGTGACCTGGCATCCTTCTGCCACTGCCTGAAATATAGGGCCGCTCTGGGCACCTGAGGGAAGGAGGATAGGAGTCAAAGTCCCTTCCCTAATTGAACCTTTTTATCCCYCTCTACTAGAAAGTCAGTATTGTTTTAACCAGAAAATCATTGTACATGCATTTTCTCCTTGTGCTATGTGTCTCTCAAAACCAACAGACCTTTCCAAATCCATCACACAAATGAGAGCGTACAGGAGTAATTGAGATACTGAGCACTTGGTTATCTTCTGATAACCTAAGGTAGGTTGAGACATTAAGTCAGAAGAGTTAAATTCAAACCTCAGCCGTAACACACATGACTTGGGTCATTCTTCTGTCTACTGCTGCTCCTGAGACTGCAATGAGAGCACAGTCCCCACAAGAAAATGCAGACCTCAGTGAACAACGTACACACCAAGCCATCCAACAGGGCAACATCTGAGGCTTCCAGACTGCCCATCAAAACACTGTTATGGTACCTGTGAGGATAGCTGGTGGGGGTGGAGTCAAAGGGGAATGAGACTCAGAACCACACCTGATCAGAGACTATCAGAAAAGTGAGTCAAGCACAATCGTCCTTAAACAGAAATGAAAACAAAATCTGTTATGTATTATGAGAAGTCCTTTTTCAACTTAAAAGCAGACGTCAGAAAGATGAGGCAGCTTCCTAGTTACAAACACTGGAGACCACTCGGCCACACTACTCAGTGCATGCTTGAAAACACAAAATTGTTTTCAGTCAGAAAAATTCTCCTACGCAATATAAAGACAACATCCACTAAAAAATTCCCCTAGTAGAGATAGGAGTAAAATAAAATGACACTTCCTCAATCACAGCACTGAAGCACAGCACACAGGGACAAAAGCTGCCCAGGAAAAGGCACCAAAATGACTGCAAAGACACTCACCCAAAAGCTGGATTCTCTAAGACAGCTGCAGGGGCACGGGCCCTGAGTGGCCAGGCACAGAGAATCGTACAGTCCTGCAGGCGCCACAGAGAGCAGTGGCCTCAGCAGACACCCACATCCCCACACTGTCAACCTCAAAGCAAATCAGAGTGCAAAGGACTGGCTCCTGTGCCTCACAGACGCACAGAAACTCACCTTATCAGCAATGCCACTGAAGCAGCGAATGAGCTACAACTATGACCACAAATCTCAGTAGTGTTGCATGTTTTATGTGTCATTAACAGTTCTTAAATAAATAAATTAATGATTTACATATGAGAAACAACATTAGGCAAYTGTTTTAGGTTCCATACAGATAAAACATTACCATCATCTTAAACTAAAGCCAAATGCCCATAAAATAATCTTAATTATAAACACACAAAAAATTAAAAACGTACAACTATTCCAAACCCTCTTCTGCTCTCTCAACCAGCCCCTGCCTGCAGCCATCACAAAGATTGAAAAAAGTCACTTAAGTGACACCTTTCAGTCCAGTCTATTTAAATTCTCAAAAGGTTACAATGAGGAAGGCAGGGAGCTCACTGGCTCCATAATCTATGGGTTCCAAGGAAACACAGAGTAACCCCCATTACTGACATAAGCTAGTTTGCTAACCTCCATTTGTCCTTAAAAACAACTCCATACTTAATACCTGTTACTAATATGGAGTCTCAAAAAGATGTGGAGGGAGCACGTGAGCATCTCTGCTTTTTTAGTGTACCCTTTAGAACTGTGTTATATGATATTTGTAAGCTTGGGAGTTCACAGCGTCTTGGGGTAGACTTCTTCCAAGTATTAAAGGTTTATCAAAAAACAGCTACTACAAAAGCCTGTGGGTCCACCATGATGCACAACACCACAGCAGGCAGCGCACACCAACACTGCAGGGCGGGGAGCTGGGTCAGCCTGTTTCTTCTATAAAAAAAGGATTTAAAGGATTTATAGTTAACCAAGAGCATCTGTCACTGACTTAAGGCAGGAAGAAATCTTACCAACCCACCCGGACATCTCCTAACTCAAGCTGGGAACCCTGCTCAGAGCCTCTTCCTGAGGGACCCGTCTAAGAGGGGGTTCTCTGTTTCACAAGACAGCCTTTTCCTCCACCAAGCATTTCTTCATTCACCAAGAGTATTCAGCTGATTCTATCAGGCCCCCATCAGGTCCCCACCACCACCAGAAACTGCAATGCATGCCATCTCAGTCTACATAAAACAAGGCAGTTTCATGAGAACTAATAGAGCCAAGTCTGCCAGGGAAGACTGCAAGCACCCAGTTCCCACAGAAAACATGGTGAGATACACAAGGGAGCTACTTCCCAGGAAAGCCACAGAGAATCAAGCTGTATGCCTGTAGAACTCCTGGACATGGCAAATAATTAGCCTCAGCAGGACTTAAAAGGAATACTGAGAAGAAAAGCCAAGTAGAAAGTAAAACATGAAGCGAACCAGGACCTAGAACTAGTGATGGTGGGTTAAGCCAAAGACATCCTATTACTAGAGTCTCGGTTTTCCTGCTGGCTTGTCATCCAAAGGCTACCAGCAACCTCCCAGACCCCAAGAGAAACAGACAGGCAGAACACTCCTCTGGGGCACAGGAGAAGGTGAGGAGGCAAGCAGTGGTCTTTGTCAGAGAAATGCATCTGCTCTATGTACCTGTAGATTAAACTAGTGGGTCATAGCCTATGCTTCACATGGGCAGCATTCCAAAGGCAAAAGCCACTCTGCCTTTCCATGACATCAGACATAAGTGCACAGCTGCTAAATAAAACACGACATCACTAGACACAGGACACAGACCTGTCTTCCCAAGTCAGCAGACAAAATAAGAAACTCGTTCATCGGGCTGGGATTGTGGCTCGGTGGTAGAGCGCTCACCTAGCATATGTGAGGCCCCAGGTTTGATCCTCAGCACCACATAAAGATAAATAAATAAAGGTATCRTGACCACTTACAACGAAAAAATATTAAAAAGAGAAACAAACAAATTCGTTCGTCAATAAGGACATGCTCATGGCCAACAGGAGGTGACATAAGCCTGTCCCACTCTCCAGGATGGGGCATTCAGGTCCTTCTGGGATCACCAAGGGGAAGCTGCCTATCATCACACTGTGGTGYAGTAATGAGCTTTCTCTATCAGAGTCACCAAGTTCAGGCAATTACAGGAGCAGATCACCCCGGCAACAGGTCTCACYGATCATCCTAAGAAGAAACTGGGATACCTTCCCACAAATGGAATGTAATCCCAGCTAATATATGTCCCCAGTGCTTCTAAGTGCTCTTCCTAGCACATGCAAACTCTGGGGGTCGGGCACTTTGCTGGGTACTCAAAGCCAATCACTGATCCTCCTCATGCTACAAGGCTAGTGCCAGCATAACCAACCACCTCATTTCACAAACCACTATCTGCTCAGGCAGTGGGAGGCTACCCCCAGGCCACTCCAATGCTAAGTGGCAAAGATAACAGACCCAAGACCTGAACTCCTTAACCTGTATCATACTATGGGGCACACAGCAGAGAGCTAAAAGCAAAAGGCAGGGAAGCCCATACACTTTCAGGTCACAATTTTTTTTTTTTTTTTTTTTTTTTTGGATATCTGGGATTGAACTCAGGGGCACTCAACCACTGAGCCACCTTCCCAGCCCTATGCTGTATTTTATTTACAAACAGGATCTCACTGAGTTTCTTAGCTCCTAGCTTTTGCTGAGGCTGGCTCTGAACTCTCGATCCTCCTGTCTCAGCCTCCAGAGCCACTGGGAGCAAATGTTTTGAGAAGAGTCTAACATTCTTAAAACTGGCAGCACTCTGATATCAGGGTCAAATTCATGAGATGGAGATTGGTAGAAAGAAGGAAAATGAGATGTAGAGGCTGAGACTCAAAGAACAAGCTTGTAGGGGGAGAAAGACCTGACTCACAAAAAAGAAAAAAGAGAAAGTCTACAGATTAGCAAAGGGACATGATGCACAGAGAGGCCTTCTAGCCAGAAGAGGTGAAGAACTGACTTTATAAAGAGGAGGAGCCCTAAGACAGAGGCGGAAGGTGAGAGGAAACAGTGCATCCAGCACTAGAACAGCACCTGGGCCCATGCCTTTGACAGTGCTTGGGCATCATGAGCACCACAGAATAATCTGTTGAACACACTAAATGTTCCCCACAGCCAACTTGCTGTATAATAAGATATGGCAGCAGCCAGGGGCGAATGCTGAGGAGAGCACCGAGTGTGCAGGACCCAGCACAGGACTGGTGGAGTCAATGCAGCAGAATCCACTCAAGTCCAAATATGACCATTCACCGTTTCTTAATTCAGGGATAGAAAACAATCATAACAAAAGGGATGCTGCAAAGACACTAATCAGCTGCTACCATACCATAAAAATACAAAGCCCTCATGAGTCCGTGTGTGTGTGTGTGTTGGGTGGGGGGGAGGTTAAACAAAATAAATGCACATTTTCTATAGAATTCAAAATACATGTATGTTTAGAAAGTTTACTTTGCTGCTATCATCCCAGCAATTTAGTAGTTTTATCTAATAAAAACTCTACTCCTGGCATATGCAGTTGTTTGGGGACAAAGGGGGATTMTGTGATACAGGTGAACACAATAGACATATTATATTATTTCAAAATACAGCAGATTTCAAGATCCAGAAACACTTGTCTTTAACATGCATGAAGTCTAGACACACCTCTAATTCCATAACATTTGAAACACAGAAAGCGGGGCCCTAGAGAAAGGCTACATAGAAAATACAAAATACACTAGAAACTACATTGATCTTTCAAGTACTTATATTCCACTCCAAATTCAAATAGAATGCAACTTGATGCATATAACAATTTTAAATCATATTCTACACCTTCTAAAAATCTCATTTGTGAAAATCTACTTGACGCTATGGGGAAATAATGCTACACTTTATGACAAGAGCAGGGTACAATTCCAAAACACAAATGAAGCACACCCACACTAGAAGGGGACACTCTGCAGAACCACTGGTGGTTCTGTCTATGTGCCAACAGTGAAAGCTTTCTATTTCCTTCCATGTAACCCACATTCCTGAGTTTCATAAATATTTAAGGAGCAGTAGTTATTTGTAAAAATGTCCTCCATAACTTACCACGTTGTAATAGCTCTTGTTGATGGCAGTTGTGTCAAACCCTTTGGGGGGGCTCTTCAAAGTTCCTGATTTGGGAGACACAGGTTTCTCTGGAATAAAAACACAAAGCAGTGTTACAGGCCAACACCAGAGATGGTAAAATGTGCTGGCCCAGCCCTCCTGCACCCACGACTGCTCACCCAGCAGCCTCAGCTCAAATAACCAGCCAGAGAAGATGATGAGGGAAGGGTCTGGCACACAGACCAGGCTCCCTCTGGCTGGGTGTGTGGAGGTCATGGCCCAGTTCTTCAGCTGTGGATTGGAAATGACTGAGAAATTATGCTCCACAAGTGTCAGCCAAAAACAAGAGGTGGGCTTYGCATACAGCTTCACAGCATCCTAAATACAAAACATCACACAAAAAAGTAAATGCTGGCAGGTACAGACAAACATCAGAACATCGAGACACCGGTTCTAGACCAACTCTCGGGACTCCGAGTGGGCAGAACACACAAGGCTTCCCAACCAGCAGAGAGACAAGAGGAAGGAAAGAAGAGAGGCAAACCCAGGGAAGCAGCACCACGCTGCAGCTCAGTGTCGGACGCAGTCGGGCTGCGGCTAGGACRTGTGAGAGCTCAGCACACATCCAAGACCCCAGGCAGAGTAGGAGTGGAGGAGTGTCTGCTCCTCAGAAGCAGTGCGTGCCTGTGTCTGTGATGGTTCCATAGGCAGCGGGCATGCAGGTCGGTGTGTGGTGTCCACCAGGGGTTCTCYGAAGCCTGCCCATCCATATTGACCCATGGCTTGCCTTCAGGTGTGCTTGGCACCCTGATTATTACTGGCTCTGTGGGGAGGGGCCGGTGGTTCAAGTCTAACTGGCTCTGTGATCCATCTATCACTGGCCCTCTGGGGCTACAGGATAAGGCATCACATTGGGACAGCGGCCTCTTCCATATTCTCTACCAAGAAATTCTTCTGAATATTTCCTAGGGGACTTACATCACAGTCCCCCTCATGCCTCACCTCCCCTGAAAGAATCCTGCTGTGTGAATCCTGATACTGGGCAGGGACACATGCGGTCCCTGTGGTGTGTGAGGTGATGGCACCTGTCCACAATTCTAGTGGCCCTCCACTCTTCCTCTGCCCACAATCTCACAGGCACAGGGCTCTAGGCAGCACCTGCCAAACTCAACACTCCCGAGCTGCAAGTCCTAAAGTCAACTGCTTGTGCAGCATCTCTAATGTCTTCCAGACACAAAGACAAGCCCAAAGTGCCCAAGAACTCACAACCCTTAACCTTAAGCATGCTTCCCCTGGAGGTGCTTGCTACCTTTCTGAGCACCTTGATGTCAAGAACAAAACTGAAGATGTCCTTCCCAGGTGAAAGAACTCTCTCAATCCATGGATGGAAAACAACCTGCTTCTAAATGCAAGTAATACACAAGGAAAACGACCTGCTCTATACACACCCTCCTCCTAAACTCAGCTCCTCCTATGCTAAGAAGGTAACTATTAGAGAAGACTGACACTTTTACATGAGAACAATGTTTTTTTCCATCTTCGAAGTCTGCAATTTGGGAGCAAAACACAAAGGGACAATGAGGGTGAAATGGCTGAAGGCCAACTCAAAGCCACGTTGACCCTAAACCACACAAGAAGAGCACATGTATTAGTACTTGTGCCTGTGTGGTTAACTGCACGAGCATAACCTTGAATCTGCTTTATCTTAAAATAATGAATTTGATATTTTATTTAAACTTAAGACATACCTCATTCTCAACACAATAGTTAATTGGACTCAATTTCCTATGAAAACATTAAGGAAAAAGATTTTCAATTAAAAAGGTTCAGGCTACTCATTTTATACAAAAATATAGGAAAGGTRCAAAGAGGAAACAGAGACAAATCAGAGTAATCCCACACAAAATGTCTTTTCTCCCTCTGGGGCTGCTACGTGGACAGCACTGAGGCAGGCAGGTCTCCTGATCACATTCCCGAATATGCYGTGCAGTCAGTTCTTAACAGAGGGCTCCAAAGGCCACAACCCCTCCAATGAGTGTCCACAGCAGTCCTACAGGAAGCAGACTACACAAACAGCTGAGGTAGATCCCCTCCAAGGACAGCCAGCAGGCTGCCCCTTCCTCCTGACACAGGAGTCACTCATCTGCATGCTCATGCCAAGTGTCTGGGATCCAGGAATGTCAACCCAGGAGGGACATATGTCAACAGAACAGGGCAGGCAATAGGCAACCTCAGGGTCCTTTGGTAGCGTCTACCAAAAAATGGAGGACAAAAATGTAATACGGGTGAAGTTATGGTCATTCATAATAGAAAAAAATGCATATAGCCAGGAAATCGGTCCCCAAACACTCAACCTCCTTAGTTCCCTGCAAAAACAACATGTTTAGCCCACCTTATAGCTAAAAGTTATTTAAACTYGCTATTATTGAGGTGTGGGGAAATAAAGTGGACAGAATTCAGTGCCACTTTCCCAGGGCTGCCTGATATGGCAGGTCTTCTCTTTCCTGCACTCAAAAAACTTACGCTGAAAACAAGAGAATTCAAACACAGATGTGTGAAAGAAAAACAAGTGAGGAGASTCCCAAAGTGCCCACAATCTCACTGCACCACCTGTCGGAGGGGGTAACTCATCCTGGMCCCTGGCAGGGCCATAGCCAACACAGGGAGGCAAGGCACAGCCCAGTCCCAGTCCCAGCATGGGTGAGCCCCATGAAAAACAGCTTAGGTGCTTTCGTCCACTGGCCCAGAGCCATGAAGCCACATATATCTCCTACAAAGAAACCTGCCTGAGGAGTGTAAGCCACAGAAGAAATGAAGCCTGAGCCCAGGGCTGCAACAGGCGCTGGAGCCAAGTTCCCAAAAGGCAGAAACGAGACAACCGAAGAAGTGTGTTTAAAATGACAAGGAAGAGAGGGACCAAAATGAGTGAAAAAGGTAACCTGAACATGAAGAACAACTGAAAAAGAATGAAGCAAAACTTCTAGAAATAAATACTATGATCACTCAAATGAACATCTCAATGGACCCATTAACACCACAGGTGAATGGGAAATCCATGAACCAAAGTTTCCCAATTTGAGGATGTATTCAAAATTAACACCGTCTGTGAAACAAACCAGAGAGAAGAGGGGAGAGGAGAGGAGGGGTGGAGGGAGGAGAGGAGAAGGAAAATGAAAAACTGGTTAAAAACCAAAACCAGGCCTTCACAGGATCTTCATGAGAACACAGGGAAGAGGAGGGGCAGGCTTCAGCAGACCTTTCCAGAGTCACCATGTGCCCTTTGCCCTGTGGAGACTGCAATTCCCCACTCACCATCCACTCTCACCCTCCCGGTTCCCAGGTCCTGACTCCATCAGGTGCTGAGTCTCCTCTTCTCTAAGGGATGAGCTGCCGACAGCAATTACTTCTGATTTGTCTCTGAAAATGCTGTGATTGTGCAGTTACTGTTTTCTCCTAACTTTACTACAGTAAAAAGTAGAGCTTACACAGCCATTAACATTTAGCCAATCTTACCACATATTACCCCTTTTTTCTTTTCTGGAAGCAATATACAATCAACCCCAGAAACGGCATCATTTTATCCATCAATAGTTTAATGTTCACCTTGCCAGAGTGACCTTTTTTCAGTTTTAAGCAAAAACCCTACTATCAGGCTATTAATCACATCTTAAAAAAAAAAAAGTAATTTTTAGTCTTTTCTAATGCCTCATCTGTGTTCAAACCTCCTTGTTTTTCGTGACAACAACTTTGGTAGTCAGCTCATTTCAATCAGAGGCCAAACAGCACCGGTGCATCTGACTGAAGCTCCTCTAAGTCTCTTGCATTCTACAAAAGTGCCTGCCCTCAGTTCTGGATGCCAGCAGATAGCACAGGGACCACCACCCTCCCTCACCTCAGGCACTATTCAGGCTGCTCCTGCTGTGCCTCATAATTCATTAAAAACCCTGTTGCTTTTCCCACTACGGTGTTTCTCCATTCCTACATGGAATGCAGAAGGTTGCTCGCTCACATGTGTGCCGCCGAATGGGTATTGGTTGCAGTCTCAGAATCAGATGCACTTGCTAACAGTCTTGACAATGCAATATGAAAATATAGCTGACCAAAGACAGAAAGCAGAAGGGCAAAGAACAGGGACATGTTAAGTCACTGTGTCRCAGCAGCAGCAGCGAGAGAGAAGCACACAATGCTGATGAGACGCAAGATGGCCTATATCACTAGCATCACCAACTAGAGGAATATGAAAGCAAAATAGCACAAGGAGGTAGGAGGAAAAGGTGAGACAGGAGATAAAACCTCCACATCCTCCCTGGAAGGGGGAGAAGAGCCTGAGCAAAGGCTGCCACTGGGCAGGGCCTGGAAGCATAGGGGACACTGCTTCACATTACAAAGGTACTTCCATCCTACATACTATATGACCTGTTTATATTATTTAACATAAATAAGAATAACTTTGGGGGAAAAGAATGCCTCTCATACTGAAAGACTAAGGACCTGACTACAAATTGCTATATATGATCTCATCTATGGGATGCTCCCCTTCAAGTGAGGATGATTGGTCACTGTCATCAGGAGATGGCCATACAGAACAAGTCACACCACACACTGTGACATYTGTGCTGGGGTTGAGTGCACACTGGTTTGTTAAGTTGCATGAATACTTGCACTGAGATTCCAAAGATTCCAAACCATCTAATCCCAGATCCTGATACCYAGCACTGTGCTCTCCACATGTGCCTCAGAGGCTCGAATCTTCCAGTCTATGCTCTTAACAAAAACCATCTGTATCTGGATGACTCCTTTATATTCTGGGTGCACTGGGGGAAAATACTGTTTGTAAACAGGTCCCTGCCTGGACCCTACCTTCAACAGAGAAAGAAGGGGCTGCAGTATAAGTTTCTTCTGCWGCAGAGGGTGCAAGGTCCTGGGTCATCCTGTCCTGTTCCCAAAACTCAGCAGCATGTCCCGTCACTCTTTATGAAAAACGAGCAGGAAATATTAAAAAATAGCGAACTCAGGAAGCCACAGTGTGAATGAACATTCAGAGGAAATGCCTCTCCTGCACAACAGATGGGCTATCCAGAAATGCAAG